CATAAAATAAAAATATGAATTAAAAAAGAATCATATCCGTACACATGCTCACCCAGAAAGAACAGTTCTCTGTAAGTGGGAAGATGATTCAAAAACTGAAAAGTTCAAAGCCCCCTGGGGAGGGCCTGGGATTTTAAGGGTTTTTGTGGTTCCCCTTCCCTAATTTCAGATTAGTCAACTTGAAGAGAAGGCTGATAGGTGTATGACTTCAAATGGGAAGCTGTCCAGGTCTGGCCTCAGTATTATCTGAACTGGTTTGGACCAGTCAGCTGGAAAAAGAACTGCTGGCTACAGACGGAGCCCCTAGGCCTTTATTTCAGACCAAGAAGTAGCAGGACATGTACGTTTTTAATATTCAGACATGACCCTGTGTGCTTATAGGGATTTAGTCCCTTACAAGAGGAGACTATCCAACTGGCTGAGCATCCTATAAGTCACGAAAGGGCCCAGGTATGCAGCTTTTCTGGGTCACCATCCATGCTGGGGTGGGATTATTGATAGTGCAGCTGTCTTTGAGTCACCCGTGTAAGTAATCCTTCACCCACACTCCTGTAAGTAACACCAGTAAAGTCACTGGTTCACTAAGCCAGACCTGGGTGGAATAATTTCTTTAGCCTGTCCTTGGTGCCCTATCTGGGGTGAACAGTCATTTGTTCATGCCCCTGCCCATGGAAAAATCATCAGGCAAATACTCCACCAACTGAGCTACACCCTTACCTTTTTTCATTTTGAGACAAGAACTTGCTAAGTTGCCTAGACAGGCCCTGAACTTGAGCTCCTTCTGCCTCAGCTGCCTGAGTTACTGGAATGCCAGGCCTGTGCCATCAGGTCCAGAAACATTTAAAAAAGTATTTATTGTTGGGGCTGGAGAGATGACTCAGAGATTAAGGGTACTGGCTGCTCTAGCAGAGGACCCGGGTTTGATTCTCAGCACCCCCATGGAAGCTAATAATCATCCATAACTCCAGTTCCAGGAGATCTGATGTCCTCTTGCTATCCATGATCATTGCACACATAGGTACACTTACATACATGCAGGCAAAACATTCATACACGTAAAAAAATGTGCCTGCCTGTATATAAGTGCACTGAGTACAATGCTTGAGGCCCGAAAAGGGTATCAGATCTGGAGTTATAGATGGTTGTTAAGACACCATGTGGGTGCTGAGAACCGAACCTGGGTTCTCTGCAAGAGCAGCCAGTGCTCTTAATCACTGAGTCATCTCTCCAGCCCCTATTATTTTTTTTAACTTATGTGTATATGTGTGTGTGTGTATGGGTAATGTGCATGTGAGTATAGGTACCTGTGGAGGCCAGAGGCACTGGAACTCTTGAGCTAGATTTACAGGCAATTGTGAATTTCCCAATGTAGGTGCTGGGAACTGAACTTGGGTCCTCTGCAAAAGCAGTATGTACTCTTTATTGCTGAACCAGCTCTCCAATACAACATTTCTTTTTTTTTTTTTTTTGGTTTTTTTGAGACAGGGTCTTCCTGTAGCCCCAGCTGGCCTGGAACTATGTAGACCAGCCTGGCCTTGAACTCACAGATATGTTTGCCTATCTCCAGAGTACTGGGACTAAAGGCATGTACCACTGTGCCTGGCCCGATATTTTTTTGTAAGAGTGCAAATGGGTGTGGGGCAAGTATCTGTAATCTCAGTACTTGGTGGGGTCGGGGGTTGAGATAGGATCTTTAGTTCAAGACCAGCCTGGGCAACATAGTGAGATTCCATCTAAAAACCAAAACATTCTGGGAGTGCTGGTACATGCCTGTAATTCCAGAACTCAGGAGGTTGAGGAAGGAGAATTATTTTGAATTTGAAGTCAGTCAAGCCCCTACATTGCAAGACCCTATCTCAGAAATTAAAACAAAACCAAAACCAAAAACAAGGACCAGTGAGATGACTCAGCAGATAAAGGAACTTGCCACCAAGCCCTGGGACCTGAGTTCAATCCCCAGGGACCCACATGGTACAAGGAGAGAATCCATTCCTACACATTGTCCTCTGACTTCCACACCATGTGCCATAGCATGCATGCATGGGCACATATGGCACACACACACACACACACACACACACACACACACACACAACTAGGCATGGTGGCACACACCTTTAGTCCTAATTCAGGAGGCAGAGGCAGGAGGATTTCTGTGAGATCCAGACCAGGCAGGGCTACAGGAGGACCCTGTCTCAAAAAAACAAAAACAAAAACAAAAACAAAAACATATGTAGACCAGGCTGGCCTTGAATTCACAGATCTGCCTGCCTCTGCCTCCCAAGTGTGTATGAATGTATTTTCTGCTTGTATGCAAGTGCACCCATGTCATGTAATGCCCAAAGAGGTCAGAAGAGGGTGTTGGATCCCCTGGAACTGGAGTTAAGGATGGTAGTTAGCCACCAAGTGGGTGCTGGGAATCAAACCTGGGTCCTCTGCAAGAGCATCCAGTGCTCTTAACCATTGAGCCATCTTTTTTTACTTACATTTTTTTGAATTATTTATTTTTATGCGTATGTGTGCAATGCTTGCAGAGGTGAGAAGAGGGTGTCAGATCCCCTGAAATTGGTTGTTAGCCATCATGTGGGTGCTGGAAGTTGAACCCAGGTCTTTTGCAGGAGCAGCTAGCGCTCTTAACCATTGAGTTATCTCTCCAGCTGCACCCCCCCCCCCCCGCCTAAAAATATTTTTTTTTTTTTTTTTTTTTTGGGTTTTTTGAGACAGGGTCTCCCTGTAGCTCCAGCTGGCCTGGAACTCACTATGTAAACCAGGCTGACCTTGAACTCACAGAGATCAGCCTGCCTCTGCTTCCCAAGTGTTGGGATTAAAGGCTTGTGCCACCACGCCTGGCTTTTTTATTATTTTTATTTTATGTGTATGAGTGTATTGCCTGCATGCATGCAGATGCACCTGAGTGTTGTGCAATGTCCACAGAGGTCAGAAGAGGGCATCGAATTCCCCTGGAACTGGAGTTATGAATGGATATTAGTCACCATATGGGTATTGATAATTAAACCCAGGTTCCCGGCAAGAGCAGTCAGTGCTTTTAATGGCTAAGCCATCCTTCAGTCCCTTCTTTTCTGAGACAAAGTCTCACTATGTAGTCCTGGCTAGTCTGGAACTTACTATGTAGACCAGGCTGGCTTGAATTCACAGATATCTGCTTGCATCTGCCTCCTGAGTGCTGGGATTAAAGGCATGTGCCACCATGCCCACCTTGAACGCTTAATAGTTATGGAGTTTTCACCAAATCGCCTGATTGTCACTGTGATTATAAATCTACATCCTGTCCAGCACCACATGGAGGCTAACAACAATCCATAACTCCAGTTCCAGGGGATCTGACGCCCTCTTCTCACCTCTACGGGCAATGCATGATACAGGTGCACTTACATACATGTAGGCAATACACTCATACACATAAAAATAAAAATGATAAATAAATTAAACAGGGAGCCAGGCATAGTGGTGCACACCTTTAATCCCAGAACTTGGGAGGCAGAGTCAGGAGGATCTTTGTCCAACTCTCTATCCCAGCAATCATTTAATTTTTTGCCGATATGATACTTGTAGATTTCATTGTTTCATTTTATCTTTTCAGCCAGCCTTCAATCTCCATGAGGGAAGTACAAGTTCACACATACACAACAAAAAACAAAACATATATACACATAAAATATATATGTGTACATACATATATACTTAGAATATATGACTACACACACACACACACGCAGGGTTAAAAAGAACTCTGAAAATTATTATTTTACCCTTTGACTTACTTCTGACCAGAATATCTGTATAGAGGCTGGCACGATGGCTCATCAGGTAAAGACACCTGTTGCCAAGCTTGATGATCTAAGTTCAATCCCTGGAACCCACATGGTAGAAGGAGAGAACTGACTCCAGAAATTGTCCTCTGACTTACACGCACGCACACACACACACACACACACACAAAATGTAAAAATTAAAAACAAACAAATTTGAGTTCAAGGCCAGCCTGCTCTACATAGTTCTAGGCCAGCTGGGGCTACAGGGAGACAAACAAAGAAATCCAATATGACCCCAGCAGAGAACCCTTTCTTCTGTGTCTGTCTCCTTCAATTTTCTGTCCTGTTATTGCCAACCCTTCACTTGGCCCTCAATAGCATCTTCCGCTGTCACCCTTTGTAGAATGTTAAGTTTGAATGATTTGCCACCAGAATTCTGTAGCCAGTGTTCTGCTGTGTCTTAGAATCCATGGTCGCTACCGACGAAGTGGAGGCCACGAGGATCCCTGGTCCTTAGTATGTGGCCTGTTCCTAGTTTTGGACCTTCTTTTTTCCCTTTGATATTCTGAAATTTCACCAAGTAGTTTCTGTGGGTCTCTAAATTCATCTTACTAGGCACCTTCTAATCTAGACATTCGAGTGCTTCAGTTGTGGCACAAGTCTATTGTGCTTTCCTTAGCTGGGTTTAGTGGTGCACTCTCATAATCTCAGTATTCGGAGTTAGAGAGTTCGAGGCCAGCCTGGGCTCTGTGAGACATTGTCTCAAAACAGCCTTTTCTTTTCCTTTGTTTTTTGGATTTTTGAGACAGGGTCTCACTATGTAGCCCTGGCTGACCTGGAACTTGACATGTAGACTTGGCTGGCCTCAAACTCAGATGCCCCTGCCTCTACTTCCTGAGTCCTGGGAGTAAAGGAGTGCACCATCATGCTTGGCGCCTTTGCTGTTTCTTTTTGAACTACTTTGATGTTACACTTCCTGGAGTGATTTCTCCATCTTTTCCGTCTTACTCTCTCTTCCTTTCTGTCTACAGCTCTTCATTTGGGTTTTCGACTTCAACCCTGATAACTTTACATTTCCAGGGACTTCTCTTGAAATTTGTGATTTTTAAACATTTTTATGGCCTCTTCAAAAGGGTGACAGGTGAGGAGGGCCAGGCGTGTATAAAGTGGCCTAAGCTCCTCACTGTAACCTTCCCGTTTCACCTGAGAGCTACCGCCGAGGTCCCCATGGCTCCTCCAGTTTGGACTCTGATGATGCTGGTGGGGGCTGCCTGGGGCCAGGGTCATTTCCGTGCCCCTAAGTGGTAAGCTGGATTGTGGGATGGAGGGTGAGGAGCCAAGTGTGGTGTGGGTGTTATCTGCGGAATGCCAGAGGGGACAAGCAGTTTAACAAGAAAGACAGTGGCCTAGCCAGACATGGTAGTGCTTGCCTGCCACCCCAGTACTTGGGAGGCAGAGGCAGGAGTTCAAGCACCAGCCTTGAGTACATGAAACCCTGTCTCAAAATAACAATCCAAAAAGAAAGGGCTGGGAGTGTAGTTCAGTTGAGTGCTCACTCAGAGTGCTAAGTGTCTGGCATACACAAAGCCTTGGGTTCAGTCCCAGCACCAGTTAACTTGATGTGGTGGTTCAGGAGAGTAATCTTAGCACTTGGGAGGTGGAGGCAGGAGGATCAGGAGTTCAAGGTCATCCTTTATTACATATCAAGTTCTAGGTGAGTCTGAGGTACAGACCTTGACTCAAAAAAATAAAACACAGAAGAGAGGGGAGGAAGATGGGATAGGCCAGTGGGATAGGAAGAAGATAACCCACAAACCAGGATGGGGAGGGCCCCACATTTCCAGAGCCAGGAATTGAGGTGATGTTCTAGACAGACTGAGGCTGGCATTGAAGGAGAAGGTTCATACTCTCCCAACTCAACTGGGTGAACCTAGCTAATAGAACACAGTTCAAGTAGAAGACAGAGAAACAAAGGATAGCTTAGTTTCTTGGAACTTGGCTAACTTGGGTGGCAGGGCTTTGAACAAGCAACAGTTGAATTATGGGGAAAAGGGGGGAACTGTTCTAAGGGACCCAGGCTGCTGAGGAGAGAGGAAGGGCTTCAGCTTTCAGGAGACTGAGACAGGAGGATTGAGAGTTCAAGGCAAGTCTGGGCTTCAGTGAGAGACCTTGTCTCTAAAAGAAAAAAAGAAAAAAGCTGGGCATGATGATACACTCCTATAATCCCAGTACTTGGGAGGTGGAGGCAGGAGAATCAAGAGTTCAAGGTCATCCTTGGAAACATAGGGAGTTTGAGGTTAGCCTGGGCTACATGAGACCCTGTCTCAACAAAAAAAATCAATATTCAAACATAGTCATAGTCTTATAAAATTGCTAATAATGACAAGTGATTCCTTTTGTTTTTTCCAAACCAATCCTAAGGAGACAGAAATCTCTGGATGGGAAATGGACGGCTTCCAGGGAGAGTTGTGAGTTGGAACCAGGGCTTCTTGGTTTTTCTTTCCCTCCTCAAGATCCTCATTCTGCCTGTGAACTCCAACCCCTAGCCTAGGGGCTATTGTCAGAGAACAGAAGTGACATAACATATGGGTTAAATGTACAAAGGGCAGCTCTTGAACAATCAAGGGTAGAGGGAACTGTGGGAAAATAGGCCCAACACCACATGAATGATTTCCATTCAAATTAAATATGGCAAGAGCTGGGTGTGCTGGCACAGGCCTGTCATTTCAACATTGGGGAGGCTGAGGCAGGAGGATCACAAGTTCAAGGCTATCCTGGGCTACTTAGTCAGGCCTTTTCTCAAAATAACAAAATAATAGGCTAAGTATTATGGTACATACCTGTAATCTCAGCAGTCCAGAGGCTGAAGCAGGAGAATCAGGATTTCAAGGCCAGCTTGGGATACATGAGAACGTGAAAGCTAGCTCAAAAACAATGGTGGGGTGAGATAGATTGGGAGATAGCTCAGTTGTAATGTGCTTGCAGCATAAGCATGAGGACCTGAGTTGAGCCCTAGCAACTGTGTAAAAACTGGACGCACTAGCTGCTTTTGCAGAGGACCTGAGTTGAATTCCTAGCACCTACATGGTGATTTACAACTATCTGTAACTCTAGTCCCAACCTGTCCAACCTGATGCCCTCTTTTGACCTCTGTGGGCATTGCATCCATATGGTGTGTTTGCATGCAAGCATGCAAAAACACTCATACACATAAATGGGTCTTTTTCTTTTTCTTTTCCTTCCTCCCTTCCTCCCTTCCTCCCTTCCTTCTTTCCTTCCTTCCTTCCTTCCTTCCTTCCTTCCTTCCTTCCTTCCTCCCTCCAAAATACCTTTCTTTCTTTCTTTCTTTCTTTTGGTCTTTTTGAGACAGGGTCTCCCTGTAGTCCCAACTGGCCTGGAACTTGCTATGTAAACCAGGCTGACCTCGAACTCACAGAGATCCTCCTGCCTCTGCCTCCTGAGTGCTGGGATTAAAGACCTGCGCCACCACGCCTGGCTTATACATGGGTATTTTTCAAAAGCTGGGCATGGTGGCACACATCTCTAGTCCTTGTGCTGGGAGGCAGATACAGGAGGATCTCTGGGCCTCACTGACCAGCCAGTCTAGCCAAATTGGTGAGGTCCAGATTCAGTGAGAGCCCCATCTCAAAAAACATGGTGGGGGGCTGAAGAGATGGCTCAGCAGTGAAGAGCACTTGTTGCGCCTTCAGAGGACCTAAGTTCAGGTTTCAGCACCCATATTGTGTGGCTCACAACCAACTGTATGTCCAGTTCCAGAGGATCTGATGCTGTCTTCTGGCCTCTGTGGGCACCTGCATCTGTGTGGCATGTGTGCGCGCGCGTGCGCGCACGCGTGTGCGCGCGCACACACACACACACACACACACACAAATTTAAAAAAAAAAGGAGTGTTTGAGGAAGATATTTGACCTTGATCTCTGGTTTCCACATGCATGCATATGCCTACATACCTGCACACACACACAGACACACACACACTAAAATCTCCAAATAACAGTAATAATAGTAATAACAGTATGAGCCACCACAATACCCAGGCAAGGCCTGTCTGTCTCTGAGTCAGTCCCGACCCCTGTTTACAATCCCTGACCTTGCCAGCTGCACGCTCTCTTCCTCAGTCCCAAGTTTCTCCCCAACCTTCTGTTTCCCAAATCTCTGCTCAAGATCCAAAATCTTAGTAGTGGCCTTGTTAAGCTTAGTGACCCTGTTGACCCTCATCTTGCCTGGCTCTGTGACCTGGCCCCTGCCCTCCTCTGTCTTTTGTCCTCTCTGAGGTTTCGTTGTACCTCTTTTTTCCCCAGCCATTCTCTCAAAATGTGACTTTGAAGACAATTACAGACCCCTCTGTGACTGGTCTCAAATGTCTACAGATGATGGGGACTGGGTTCAAACTTCTGGGCCCTCCCCCACTGGCACTTCTGGACACCCTGGAGGGTACCCCAGTGGAGGTGAGTGGTCTCAAGGGAAGCCTAAGGTCTGGGTAGAGTAGAGAGGTGGATGCTGGAAGTGGAGTTGAGCAGGGGATGGTTGGGACAGACCTTGAGGATAGCAGGGTCTCAGCATTCTGGGATCTGTCTCCACCCAGAGGGCTACTACCTGCACATGGATGCCAACGCCTTCCCCCAGGGTGGAGTGGCACGCCTACGAAGCCCTGATATATGGGAGCAAGGCCCACTCTGCATCCATTTCGCCTACCACATGTTTGGGCTGTCATGGGGCGCCCAGCTCAAACTGATGCTGCTCAGGGGCTGGAGGACTCAGCGGCCCAGTGTGCTCTGGAAACACGTGAACACCCAGAGTCCCTCTTGGATGCCCACCAGTGTCACGGTGCCCACGGATAGAGATCTACCAAGCTGGGTGAGGACAGAGCAGATCCAGATGTCTGGAGGTGGGGAGGTGCTCTGGGGAGGGAGGAAGGAGCTTAGGAGTGTGGGTGGTGGCAACAAAGGAACTTGGAGGGTGCTCATAGAATTACCTGACACTAAGTCTGATGGTCTAAGTTCGATTCCTGGTGACCTGAGTTTGATCTCAGGAACCACACGGTAGAAAGAAAGAACTAACTCATGCAAGTTGTCTTCTAACCTCCGAAAGTAAACTCTTGAAATTAAAAACACATAGAATTTAGGGCTGGTGAGAAAGCTCAGCAAGTAAAGGCACTTGCAGCCATGCCTGACCACCCAAGTTTGATCCCTGGGACCCACATGGTAGAAGGAGAGAACCGATTCTGGCAAGTTGTCTTCTAACCTTCACAAGAGCACTGTGGCACACATATGTGTCACACACACACACACACACACACACACAAAGGTAAATGAATGTCATTTAAAGATATTTATTTATTTAACGTGTGAGTGTTTTGCCTTCATTTATGTAAGTATACCCATGTCGTGCAATGCCTACAGAGGCCAGAAGATGTCAGATCCCCTAGAACTGGAGTTATGAATGATTGTTAGCCACCATATGGTGCTAACCTGGAACCCAGGGTGTGGGAACCAAACCTGGATCCTCTGCTACAGCAGCTAGCACTCTTAATCATTGAGCCATCTGTCCAGGCTCAATGAATGTAATTCTTAAAAAGAGGGGACCTAGCCAGGTGTGATGGTGCACGCCTCTATATCCAGCACTTGGGAGGCAAAGGCAAGTGAATCTCTGTGAGACAGAGGCCAGCCTGCTCTGCATAATGAGTTCCAGGCCAGTAGCAGCAACAGGGAGACCCTATCTCAATAAAACAAAACAAATCCAGCAGCTGGAGGCAAAGGAAGTCTAATCAAGTGGTTCATGGGACTGGGGGTCTCTTGGTCCCTTATCTCATAGCTGATGTTTGAAGGAATGCGGGGAAATACCACTTACCTGGACATCTCTCTGGATCGGATCTCTATCAGTCGGGGTACCTGCAATCAGAGTGAGTCCCTGTCCCTCTCCTGGGCCTCTTCCTCTCCTGACCCATTAGACTTCCTGAGATGGAGGTGGGGTATCTTAGTAACTAGGATGTTGTTTTCTCATGAGGTGATGCTGCTGGTTTCCTGGTGCTGCATCACCCCGTGCCTCTGATCCCTAAAGAAGTCACGCTTGAGAGAGAGATTCCCTTTCAACATGGGGATACCTGGTATCATCTGACCAGGACAGATAGCATTGGACTAACCCATTTGTCAAGAAGTCCTTGGTGGGGCTGGAGATGTGATTTAGTTGGTAGAATGTTTGCTTAGTATACAAAAAGCCCTGGGTTCCATACCCAGCACTGCATAAACCAGGTGTGGTGATGTGTACCCTTCAGCCCTAATATTCAGCAAGTAGAGGCAAGAGGACCAAAAGTTCAAGGTCATTCTTGGCTACATAACACATTTGAGTCCAACTTGGACTACATGAGATCTTGTCTCTAAACCAAAGGAGTCCTTGACTCCAAGATAATCTGGATGTGCAGTCATCCTAGATGTTGCCCTCAGTACCACTCTGATCCATCCAGAATTGCCCTTTCAGGCTGACGTTAAAAGGAAGGAAAATTCCAGAAGCTGTAAAAGAAACCAACATTTACTGTACACAGGGACTGGACTATATGCTCCACAAACATAATGTAATTTGCAATTCTACACAGAAAATATTCCCAGTTTATAGATGAGGAGTCTGAGGCTGGGCAGGTTATGCAATCTGTCCCGGGAGCAGAACTTATGTGCTGCAGGGTCGAGGTTGGCTTCAAAGCTAGCCAGGACTTACCACAGCCCCGAGATTGGACCTCAGAGCCCCGACCCCAAATTGAGGTATCCGTTTCTGGGTTTCCTCCTCAGGCAGAAAGCTACATTGTCCCCTCCTTTGGTACTGGGGATTGAACCAGGGCATTGTGTTGGTTAGGCAACTACTTTACCACTGAGCCATGTCCCAACCTCTCACTGGGGGATTATAGGTATGTTCTCTACCACTGAGCCAAGTCCTAGCCCCTCACTGGAGGATTCTAGGCAAGCACACTTCCACCGAGTCAGACCCCAGCCCCCTTTCTCCCTCTCTCTCCTCTCTAGTCTGCATGTCACAGATGTGCACCTTTGATACTCTAAACGATCTCTGCGGCTGGAGTTGGGTCCCGACTGCCACGGGAGCGAAGTGGACCCAAAGGAACGGATGGTCAGGGAAGCTAGGCGTGGGGCCTGATGATGACTTCTCTAGCCCTGGGAGTGAGTACTAGCCATGCTGTACACCCTTGGAATTTCTGGGCTCCAGTGACCTCTACAGACCCTACAGTAGCATCCCTTGGGGACAGGCCAGGTAGAACCCAGCAGCTTCAAACTTCTTTCAGCTCAGGGTTCATGGCAAGAAGCAAACTTCAAATATCCTCCCTCTTCCCCCACTGCCACATGGCTACCTAGCATCAGCACCGCCTGCTCCTTGCTGCCCTTCCTTCCCTGGCACCTTTCCTTCTTCATTCATTGTGTTATTCATCTGATACCCCTGTATGAGGTCATATCCCATAAACTTGAAAATGAGGGTGTAAAACTGACAAAGAGCCAGGTATGGTGGTGTATGCCTTTATCCCAGCACGCAGGAGGCTGAGGCAGGAAGGCTGAAGGTTCAAGGATGGTCTGGGCTACATAGGGAGACCCGGTATCAAAAAACCAAGGCCTGGGGATATAGGTCAGTGGTAAGGTATTTTCCCAGCATGCATAAGGCCCTAGGTTCCATTCCCCGCACCAGAGAAGAAAGGAAGGAAGGAAGGAAAAGAGGTAGGGAGGAAGGGGGAAGGAAAACAAAGGGAAAGAGGGAGGAAGGAAGGAAGGAGGTAGGGAAGGATGAAAGAGGGAAGAAAGAAGGAAAGGAAGAAGATGGGAAGCAGGGAAAGAAGGAAGGAAGGAAGGAGGAGGAGGGAAGGAAGGAGGAAGTAAGGAAGTAAGGAAGGAAGGAAGGAGGAAGGAAGGAATGAGGAAGGAAGGAGGAAGGAAAGAAGGAGGGAAGGAGGAGGAGGGAAGGAAGCAAGGAAGGAAAGAAGGAGGAAGGAAGGAGGAAGGAAGGAAGGAAAGAGGAAGGAAGGAAGGAGCCAAGCACGATGCCTGCAATCCCAGCACTCAGGAGGCTGAGGCAGGAAGAGATCAGGAGTTCCAGGCGAGCCTGGGCTACACAGGCTCAACACCACTTGGGTTTTCTCCTAAGAAGCTGCAGGCAGGAACAGCAAGGGTGGATGGAAACTACTGAGGAAGATTTGGAGTCATGGGGCGATAGGCTTCCTTCCAGTTCTCTCCATCCATGGCTCTCCCTCCCTTCTCTCCCACTTCCCTCTGCTCTTGGCTGGGCTTTCTCTTCCTCTTTCTGCCATCCACTTCTTCCTCTTCTGTCCCACTCAGTGCCCACCTCCTTCCCATCTTCACACAGCCCACGTTTCCAGCTCTTGCTGAACCAAGCTTTGGAGGTCAGACAGTAGAAATTGTGTTCTCTAATTTCTTTTCCTGTTTGTTTTTTCAACTACCCACATTTTTAACTACAGAAAGCTTACCTTTTAGAAAGTTCTTCAAATCCCTTCATTTGAAGCCCTTGGAGGGTTTTCTGGGCACCCTCTTTCTAAATCCTTTAGCATCATGGCCTAATTTAAGTAATTGTTGGTCTTCTTTGCCTTGTTTTGAGACAGTAGCTCATGTAGCCCAGGCTGGACTTGACTAACTCCTGATGCTCCTGCCTCAGCCTCCCAGATGTGATTACAGGTGTGCACCAACAATCTTGCCCCCCCTTTTCCTGTACTGTTTTGTCCTTCATCATTTCCCCATTTCCTTTCCTTGCCTTCCCTCCAACCTTCTGCTATTTTCTGCCTACCTCCTGCCTATACTCTCCACTTCAGCCTACTGACTTCTTGGCCTTCCCTAGCCTGGTGCTGACTGTAGAAAGCCAATGGGAGTCAGGCACTAGTGCTCACCCATGAACCAGAGACCTTGTCCCTCTCTCCATGGCTTCTAGTTGCATCACAAAGCAAAGTCCAGGATGATTGGCTGCCTGGTTTCAAAAAATATATTTTTATTTTGCATGTATGAGTATTTCACTTGCATGTATGTAAGTGCATTATGTGCATGCAAAGGACCTAGAGGCCAGAAGAAGGCATCGGATCCCCTGATACTGAGTTATGGTTTTGAGCCTCCGTGTAGGTACTGGGAACTGACCCAGGGTCCTCTGCAAGAGTGGCCAGGGTTCTTAACTGATGGGGAGGTGAAGGAGCTGTGGGGTGGGGAGCTGCCCAGTTCTCAAAGTCTGTCTGTCTGTCACCAACTTGTGTGACTCTGCTGTGTCTGACGGACCAAGAAAAGAAAGAGGCTAGGACTAGGGGACCTGAAGAGTCAGCACTCAAGGGACAAGGTTATGACCACTGCTTCTCAGCAGATGCTTGCCTGTACCATAGCGTCGTTCAGGTCCTTCCCCTGTTCACCCGCTCCCATCCCAGCACTGCCTGGTTCTAGGTGGCTGCTGGGGCTCCCCACTGCTGCCCTCCTTCCCCGTCATTCCATGTCACTGACCCTTTCTTTCACAGAGGGCTTCTACATGCTCTTGGATTCCGTGAATGCAAGGCCGGGTCAGAAAGCTGTCCTTTTGAGTCCCCCGAGCCAATCCAGTGGCTGCCTGACTCTGTCTTTCCGATACACCCTGCATGGAGAGTCTCCCGGTGAAGGCCTCTTTGTCTACTCTACGTACTTGGGTTAGAGTGGGGAACCGACTTCGGTGCATCTCAGAGGGTTGGGTCAATGGGGAAAATATCGGGTGTCTCCCCTTGAAGTCTAAGGAAACCCAGGATACCTATGAGATTATTTCATGAAGTAGAAATAGGAAGGGCACCGGATTCTAGAAAAATAAAGGTACTGTCAGATACATTGGCCCATGCCTGTAATCACAAGGTTTGGGAGGTAGAGCAGGAGGATCAGAAATTCAAAGCCAGCCTTAACTACATAGTGAGTTCCAGGCCAGTATAAGCTACAGGAGACTGTCTAAAATTAAAAAACAAACAAAAGCAAACATGAGCTGTGGAAATGGCTCAGTCAGTAATGTACTTGCCACATAAGAATAGGGACCTGAATTCCACCCCCATCATCCATGCAAAATGCAGAGTGTGGTGGCCCTTGCTTGTGATGCCAGCACTGGGGAAGCAGAGGAACATGGATCCCTGGGGCTTTCTGGCCAGCCAGGATAGCCTAATCAGTGATCCCCAGATCTCAGTGAGAGATCCTGCTTTAAAATAACAAGGTGGATAGCGCCTGATGAGTGGCATCCAAGGTTGGCCTCGGGCCTCTACACACATGCAACATGTATGTATGCACATCTGCACATGAGCCTACACACAATACACATATGTGTGCACACACTCACATTCACACAAAACAGGCAAAGACAGAAAGAAAGAACAAAAGAAAGAAAGAGAAAGAAAGAAAGAGAAGAGAAGAGAAAGATAAAGGTGTCAGGAAAGAGAAAGGGTTTGTGGCATACAGAGTGATATTAGTCTAGTATTCTGTTTCCCTATGCAACTTGCACTTCACTCCAAAGTCCCCTTAAATTCCCTTCTTTTTTTTTTTTTTTTCCATTGTAGGCAATGTGATGTCATGTGACATGTGCAGGCTAGGCTGGAGGAAATTGAGAGTGATTTCAAAGTAAGTATGGCTGTTTCTTTTTAGAAATGTTCTAAAATTAGATTGTGTCAATTGCAGCAAAATATTCTCTTTCCCTTTTTTTTTTTTTTTTTTTCTCCATTGTAGGCAATATCCGCAAACACACCCTGTTCTCAGGACAACCCGGATCCAACTGGCAACCTGTGTCTGTCAATTACACAGGACAGGGACAGATACAGGTACAGAGGAACAAGGTCTTATTAGAAGTCCTCATTAAAAGTCCTTACATATGATAGGTTCCCTTGTTGGAATGAGTTGAGGGTCTAGATACGAGGAGCAGGGGCTGAGTCTTTGGATGGAAATATCAGATGGAAGGTGTCTTAGTTTTTTTTTTTTCTGTTGCTGTGAAAAAAAATAAAAATAAAACTCTGACAAAAGCAATTTAGGAAGAAAGGGTTTATTCTGGGTCATAAAGTATACAATCCATTAAGGTGGAGGACACGTGGTGGCAGGAGCTTGAAGCAGCTTGCCACATCACATCTACAATTGGGAAGCAGAGAGAGATGAATGCTTGTTGCTCAGCTCCCTTTCTCTAGAACAGTTACACAGTTCAGGATCTCAGCCAGGGATCGGTGCCACCCCCAGTGGGCGGGTCTTCCCATCTCAGTTAACACAATCAAGATAATCCCCCAGGGGCATGCACAGAGGCTTGTCTTGCAGATCATTTTAGATTTGTCAAGTTGACAATTAAAGACCCATCACAGGAGGATTGGGTGGTGGTTCTGAGTGCTCACTCCAGCCACACTCCTCTTCTCTTTAGTTCATGATAGTGGGTGTGTTTGGAGAGCAGCCGGAGCCAGCAGTGGCTGTGGATTCCATCAGCATTGCTCCCTGTGGGGGTGAGAGACAAGCCCTGGGAACTCTTGCTAAATTTGGGGTGGGAGTAATGGGAGACATAGTTTCTCAAACCTCTCTCTTGGAATCTGCTAGAGAGCTTTCCCCATTGCGACTTTGAAGACAGAGTTCATCCTTTCTGTGAATGGAACCACGTGTTTGGGGATATTGCACACTGGAGCTGGGGAAGTAAAAGTATACCCACCCCCATCTCAGGACCACCAAGAGATTTCCCTTATGGAGGTGAGGAGACTGAGGACCTCTTTAGGGTCATGAATCACTGAATCTGCTCCTAAGTAGGGACTGGGCGGTGCTAAAGGATGTTGGATGTTGGGAATACCTTCCTGCAGGTGTTTATGGGTCAGAGCTGAGATTCAGAGCATAGATATGATGAGGGTGCTCAAGTTATTGCAACCCACCAGAGATTCCAGGCATCCAGAGGTAGGCATACTTATTGATAGAGCAGCTTCCTGGAATCCCCTAGTGACGGACTGGGGACATGGCTCAGGGAGGGAAGGAAAAATATCTAGGCTTTCCTCTGCATTGAGCAGGACTTCAAAATCCACTATTTCATCTTCAGCCAAGACATTTGCGGAGGATGCCAATGGGGGCATAGGGTTGCAGGTTAGAAGTCCAAAAGTAGGTGTAGTGATATATACCTATAATGTGGAGGCTGAAGCAAGAGAATTGCAAGTTTTGGGCCAGCCTCAGCCACATAACAAGACCTTATCTCAAAAACAAAAGAGTAAAGAAAAATACTACAGTGCATGCTTGGTTGCTTGCTTATTGGGAAAGTTAGACATAAGTACTGTAAGCACTAGACTTGGATTTGGCTGTGGAGTCTCACCTTGCTGGTCCCCCCCTCTTTCATCCAGGGGAGCACTATATCTACTTTGATTCACTCAAGTTATCCCAGGCAGGACAGTCTGCCAAACTGGTGAGTCCACCCTTCTGTGCCCCTGGGGATGTCTGCGTGGAGTTTGCTTACCACATGTATGGCCTTGGAGAAGGAACCACACTCAAGCTCCTTTTGGGGAGTCCTGCGGGCAATTCTCCGATTTCTCTGTGGAGCCGTGTTGGGTCTCAGAGCACTAGCTGGCTGAACTCCTCCGTCACCATCCCTAAGGGATATCCACAGCCCATGCAGGTGAGAGATGGAGAGTGGGCCTGTATGTATCTATGTGGGGTGTATTAAGCAGGTCCAGAGGTGGAATGGTGTATATTAGTTATTTTTCTTGGTACTGTGACAAAACACCTGACAGATGCAACTTAAGGGAGAAGAAGTTTATTTTGGTTTATAGTTTTTAGAAATCTTTTTTTTTTTTTGAGACAGGGTCTCCCTGTAGCCCCAGCTGTCCTGGAACTCACTATGTAGACCAGGCTGGCCTTGAACTCACAGAGATCCTCTGCCTCCCAAGTGCTGGGACTACAGGCGTGCACCACCACGCCCGGCTTTAAAAATCTTTTTAAAAATTTTATCTTATGTGTATGTTTTGCCTACATGTATATAAGTGAACCACAGAGGCCAGAAGAGGGCTTTGGATCCCCTGGAACTGGAGTTTCAGATGGTTGTTAGCCTCCATGTAGGTGCTGGGAACCAGACCCAGGTCTTCTGCAAGAGCAGCCAGGCTGTAACCATTAAAGACCTGCCTTTTACTGGCCTCACAAAACAATGCCACCAGGTGGAGACCAAGTATTCAAACGCATGAGCCCGTAGGGGACATTTCACATTCAAAGCATAACAGGTGGAAAGGGCAGGAGAAGTGAACTTGAGGTTCAAGGGGCAGGGGGACAGGCTGGACTGCTGAGGTTCTAATCAAGTGACATGTGGGCAGAGGAGGTGCCCAGCAGAGTTTGAGTTTCCAGGGATTCGTTTTCCTTCCTCACTTCCCCTCTTTGCCTTTGTCTCCAGTTGTTTTTAGAGGCCACCAGTGGTAGCAGTGCTGCTTTTGCTGTTGCTGTGAATTTCATCTTGATCAATCATGGGCCATGTCGAGGTAAGATGAAACTCAAGGCCTCAAGACCCCAGCTCCCCCACCCACCACCCATTTTACCCCCATCTCCCTTGTGGTACTAGGAATAGAACACAGGGCCTCAGGCATGCTGTACTGTTGAGCCACACCCCCAGTCCCTCACTGGAGGATTCTGGGCAGGTGCTCTACCAGTGAGCCATGCCCCCTAGCCCCTTACTGAGGATTCTAGGCAAATACTCTAATGCTGAGTTCCATTCCCAGCCCTATTTTATTTTCACTTTGAGACAGGATCTCACTACGTTGCCCAATTGCCCTCAAAGTTGTGATCCTCCTGCCTCAACCTCCTGTGTTACTGAGATTACAGGTGGGCACATCATGTCCACTGTGAATGTCTTTGATGATATGAGTTTTGGCAACAGCATCTAGACTCCCTCACTAGTGACCTTAAAGGCAGAACTCATAGCCTATTCATTTTTGTATTTCCTGTATCAGAATATCAGATATATGGTGGGAACTCTACTTGTTGAATGGGTTTTTGTTGTTGTTGTTTTGTTTTGGAGACAAGCTTTCTCTAATAGCCCCATCTGGCCTGGAACTTATTATGTAGACCAGGCTGGTCTCATTCTCACAAAGATTTTCCTGCCTCTGCCTCCTGACTGCTGGGATTAAACATATGTGCCACCATGCTGAGCTACTGTTAGATGTTTAAATGAGGGAAGATTGGGAACAGAAGCAAAGTGACTAAGTGCCTCTTTGAGCCTTCCCAATCCCATCAGATATGAATGAAAGGGAGGCGGTGTAATTTTGACTAAACTCCAGGGATTTTCCTTTGCAGTGTCATTGGCCCCGAAAGTGCTTCCTGGCAGGCCTCTAGTTCTACCCACTATCCCCACAGAAATGATTGTCCTCACAGAAGTGACTACAGTCCTCATAGGAATGATGACTGTCCCCACAGAAGCAACCACAGTCCCCCCAGAAACTACTGTCCCCACAGAAGTAACCACTGTTCCCACAGAAACGACTGTCCCCACAGAAGTGACCACAGTCTTCACAGGAACGACTGTCCTCACAGAAGTGACCACCATCCCCAGAGAAGCGACCACAGTCTCCACAGAAGTGACCACTGTCCCCACAGTAAAACCCTCTGTCCCCACTGAAGCGACCACTGTCCCTGAAGAAGAGTGGATCATAGGTCCTAAAGATGAATGGACCGCAGGTCCTGAAGAAGGGATCACAGTTCCTGAAGAAGGGACCAGTGTCCCCACAGAAGGACCAAGTCCTTCACAGGCTCTGAGTATGTCCCTGATCAACATCGTCCCACCCATCACTGCAACCACAGGTATGAGGTAGATGGAACGTTGGCCAAAGAATTCAAAGTAAGAGACAGTGAATAGAAATCAGGGAGGGAGATTCTTCTAGTCAAATCCCCGAACTCATAATGGAGATAAGCCATTCCCTGGCATTCATAGAAGACCACCCAGAGGACCTGCCAGAGCTGGGGGCAAGCAGGACAGAATGGGGTAGTGGGATTGAGGGTGGGAACCAAGAATGAGGCTTCTATTTCATTGAGTACTATACAATCCCCCAACTTTGATGCTAAGGATAGAGCTTAGGGGTCTTAAACATGCTAGACCACATCACCCAACTTTTACCTTCTTTTATTTTGGTTTGTTTTACAGTTTGTTTTTATTTTTTAAAATTAGTTTTCTTGTTTCTTTTATTTTTGAGACAAGGTCTCACTATGTTAGCTAGGCTAGTTTGGAACTTGCTGAGTAGCCTAGACTGGTCTTGAACTCATGATCCTGTTGCCCCAATCTCCTGAGTACTGGGATTATATTCATATGTGACCATGCCTCCTTACCCTCTAAAAAAACGCAATTCCACATTTTTAGGTGTTTTCATAAGGTTGTACAATCCTTTCTTCCCGTTTTGTTATCTCTCTCTCTCTCTCTCTCTCTCTCTCTCTCTCTCTCTCTCTCCCCTCTCCGACAAAGTCTCACCATGTAGCTCATAGTTCATACTGGCCTAGAACTTGCTACATAGCCCAGGCTTGTCTCATTGATCCTCCTGTCTCGACCTCTCAGATATTATGATTATAGGCCTGTACCATCAGGCTTGATTTGTCTTTTACTCCATTAATGGGAATCGAACTCAGGACTTTATGTATGCTAGGTAACCACACCACACACTGAACTATATCCTCAGCCCCCTTTGCCCATTCTTTCCTTTTCTATCTCTTTTCTTCTTCCCTCCTCCCTCTCCCTCTTTCTTTCTTGCTATATACTCCAGGCTAACCCCAAACTTGCAATCTCTTGTCTCTATCTCCAGAGTACTAGGATTATAGGCATGTACCACCAAACCTGGCCTTAACCTGGATATTTTATACAAATAGTATCATTTGACATGTGTGCCTTTGGACTGGCTTCTTTTGCAGAACACAGTATCTTCAAGGTTCAGCCTCACGTGTCATAAATGTGTCAGATTTTTTTGAGACAGGGTCCTGCTATATAGCCCAGGCTGGCCTCAAATCCACTCTGGGTCTGGTCTTGAACTCCTTGCAATTTTCCTGTCTCAGACTCCCAAGTGCTGGGGTTGCAGGCATGTTCTACCACACCCTATATCAATTTTTTCTTTTTTGGGGATAAATACAGGCTATATTTTAAAAGAAAAGAATTTGAGTTCAGGTTAGAGAAGAAACAGAGAGACTGCTGGGAACAGCTATATAATGGAAGCCTGATGGAGACTGTGTTTCCCTTTAGAGAGCTGCCCACAAAATGCCCACTATGAATCCTGCGCGTGCCCTGCATCCTGTGAGAGCCCCAAGCCCAGCTGTGGACACCTCTGCACTCCAGGCTGTGTCTGCAATCCTGGCTTTTTGTTTAGTAACAATGAGTGCATCCATGCGTCTTCCTGCAATTGCTTCTACAGCAACACCTACTATAAGGTCAGTTCCTGGGGGTTCCTGGCTTCCCAGAGGAGATTCCGTGACAGAACTCTGGTGTGGCTGCTCTTCTCATGAGAGAAACTTAGTGTCCCAAGGGGGTCAGCTTAAAGCCTTGGTTACACAATGGTTACATAAAGCCATTCATTTAACACATGGGCTTGGTTTTGCTGTGAGGCGGATGGAGCCAAGGGCTTCTTGCATACTAGAGAAGTACTCTACCACTGAGCCACGCCCCCAGCCCCTCACTGGGGGATTCTAGGCAGGTGCTCTACCACTGAGACACGACGTCCCCAGCCCCTCTGGGGGATTCTAGGTAGGTGCTCTACCACTGAGCCACACCCCCAGCCCCTCACTGGGGTATTCTAGGTGGATGCTCTACCACTGAGCCACACCCAGCCCCTCACTGGGGGATTCTAGGTGGGTGCTCTTCCACTGAGCCACACTCCAAGGCCAAGACTGGCTGCATTTCCAAAGCTCAGTATTCCACACTGTAGCTGATGGTTGGCATAATAGACAGATGGAGTCAGGTAGTGGGAACTTGAACCTGGCCTCAGCATTCATTCTTTGGGTAACTTTGGGAAAGTGTCCTAATCTCATTAAATCTGTTTCCAATCTTACACAATAAAAACTATCTATTTATTTTTACTTACTTTATTTTTTTTTTTTATTTTTTCTTTTGTCTTTTTTGAGACAGGGTCTCCCTGTCATCTGGCCTGGAACTCACTACATAGACCAGGTTGGCCTCGTTCTCACAGAAATCCACATGCCTCTGCCTCCCAAATTCTGGGTTACAGATGTCCAGTTTTTGGACTACTGAGAATTGAATCTAGGGTTTTGTGCTTACTAGACAAGCCCTCATGCCAACTGAACTCCATACCCAGTCCTATTATTATTGTTATTATTCACCCTCCATGTTTCAATTCTAGTATAGTGAGGAAAGATAACGACTACACTTTTGTTGTTATTGTTTTGAGGCAGAATCTCACTCTCTAATCCAGGCTGGCCTGGAATGTGACTTTACCTTTTGTTTGTTTTGGTTCATCTTTTCAGATAGGGTCTCCCTAGTAGCCCCAGCTGGCTGGTCTGGAACTTGCTATAGAGACCAGACTGGCCTTGATCTCATACCTGTCTCTGCCTCCTAAGAACTAAGACTAAAGGTTTGCATCACCATACTCAGCAGGAACTCAACTTTGTAGCCTAGGCTAGTCTCAAACTTGTGACAATTCTTCTGAATTTGTCGTCCAAATGCTGAGATAATAGTGTGCTTTATACCAGTCCAGGTTTATAATCTTCTCACTTACATAAGATTCTTATAAAGCCAGGTGTGCTGGTACACACCTGTAATCCCAGCACTGGGAAGATGGAGATAGGAGGCTTGGGAGTTCAAGGTCACCCTTACCTATATAAGGGAGTTCAAGTTCAGCCTGGGCTACATAAGACCCTGTCTCAAAAATAAAAACCAAAACCATGATTGGAGAGATGGGTTGGCTTAGCAGTTAAGAGCACTGGCTGCTCTTGCAGAGGATTTGCATTTGGTTCCTAGCATCCATATGGCGGTTAATAACCATCTATAACTCTAGTTTCAGGGGATCTGGTGCCCTCTTCTGGCCTCTATAGGTTTGCACACATGTGGTGCACTTAGGTACATTCAGGCAAAACACCCATACACATAAAATAAAAATAAATTTCAACCTCTCCCAAACCCAAACTAAAACCAAGGCTAAACAACATTTTTGTAAGCATTTGTCCTAGTTTAATTTCTGTTGCTGTACCCACCCCCAAAAAAGCAAACTTGGGGTGGAAGCTGGCTGGAGAGATGTCTCAGTACTTTAGAGCACTGGCTGCTCCTGCAGAGGTCCTAGGTTCAGTTCCCAGCACCCACATAGCAGCTAACAACCATCCCTAACTCCAGTTGCAGGGGATCCAAAACCCTCTTCTGGCCTCTGTGGTCATTGTATGCATGTGGTGCACTTACTTATATTCAGGAGAAACAGTCATACATATAAAATAAAATTAATTTTTAAAAAAGGCAAACTTAAGGGAAGGGAGAAAGTTTATTTCAGATCACAGTTCCAGACTAAAGTGCATCAAATAAGGGGAGTCAAGTCAGGAACTTAAAACAGCTGGTCACATCACATCCATAGCCAAGAGCAGAGAAAAGCAAATATTCGTACATGTTCACTTACTTGTGCTCACTTGATTCCTCCCCTCTTAAACAATTCAGTAACTCCTACCTAGGCAATGGGGCCATCCACGGTAGGCTGGGTCTTCACACATCAATTAACAAAAACAGGACAATCCCTCACAGACATGCCCACAGGCCAGCCTGATCTAGACAATCTCCCTTTGAGAAGCTCTTCCCAGGTGTGTCAAGATGACAATTAAAACTAGATCTGCTACATGTCAATTGCTTAATAAATGCTCATCATTGTTATTAACAATTTATGATAATACATACAATCTAGTAATTAAAAGTGCATTAAACAAATTCAGCAAATTAATTAAGCAAAACCAGATGTGGTGGCACAAATCTTAACACCAGCACTGTGGAGGTTGAGGCAGGAAGGTTACCCGATTCCAGCCTGGGCTACATAGTGAGACCCTGTCTCAGGAGTTCAAAGTCATCCTTAGCTATGTAGTGAGTTTGAGGCCAGCCTGGACAACATGAGACGCTACCTCAGAAAAGAAAACTTTGATCTGGGGTTATAACTCAGTTGGTAGAGTGCTTGCTTGTCTTGCCTGCAGAAAGCCCCTGGCTGTGATCCCCAGCAACACACACACACACACACACACACACACACACACACACACACAGGCCAGCAAAAGGGCTCAGTGGGTAAAGGCACCTGCTGCCAAGCCTAATGACCGGAGTTTGATCCTTGGAACCCACATAGAAGGAGAGAACTGACTTCTGCAAGTTATCTTCTGGCCTTCGCATGTATACTATGGTGTGTGTGTGGGGGGGTGCACACGGAAGGAAAGGAAAGGAAAGAAAGAAAAAATTTAAATGCAATTTGCTATCAGGGCTGGGGAAATAGCATGGAGTTTTCCATGTAAGCATGAAGACCTGAGTTTGGATGCCCAGAACTATGTAAAAAAGCTGGTCATGCAAGCCTGTAACCTTGGTGCTGTGGAGTTGGGGAGAGACAGGAGAATTTCTGGGGCTTGTTGGCTGGCAGCCTGAATCCAGGTTCAGTGAGAGACCCTGCCTCAAAGGAATATGGTGGAGAGTGACAGAGCAGGATACATCATGTCTTCCTCTGGCCTCTGCAAGGCCCAAGAACCATAGCTCCGTGACTCTCAATCCATTCCTCTCAGCCTGGAGAAGAGTGGTTCAGTCCCAACTGCATGGAGCGGTGCCGCTGCTTGCCTGGTAGCCGGATGGAGTGCCAGATCTCTCAGTGTGGGACACACACAGTGTGCAAGCTGAAGAACGGCCTGTATGAATGCCAGCCCTATGGTAAGCACTGCCCTTTGTGCTGGCACAGTGGGTGGGGCGCTTTAGTATGAACTCCCTCTTCCCACCATCACAGAACATTTGTGCCGGTTCTGTTCTCATTCCAGAATGCCCTTCCCTCTTGTCTTTCTAAATCATTAATCTGTCAGGGTGTGTGACACCAGTTTGGATAGAGGAGGTGGGGGGGTGTCTCTGGGTAGGAGAGCTAGGATATGGGTCCAGCCAGGTGGGCATCAGAAACAGCTTCCTATGTCTTCCACCTTTCTTCCCCTTGGTCAGGCACTGCCACCTGCCTGGTCTATGGGGACCTTCACTTTGTCACCTTTGATGAGAGGCACATTAATTTCACCGGGACATGCGCCTACATTTTGACCCAAACCTGTGACAACTCTACAGGTAGGAGATGTAAGCCACACCTTGGGGGAGGGACTTGAGGTCAGACGTGCTGGGCATGGGGACGTGATGAGTGGTAGAACTCTGTTGGGATAGATGATGCAAAGAAGTTATATTGGAGCAAGGTGCTCCATTATGCAGCAGGATGTACAGCAGAGGCAGCACTGTCGGGCCCAGAATCCTGGGAAAATGCAGTTTCAAATATCACCTGCTTGCCATTGAGGAAGGGCCCCTGGAAGAGTGACAGTCACTGTCAAAGAGCTTCTAGGCTGGGGGTGTGACTCAGTTGGCAGAGTCTTTCCTAGCATGCATGAAGCTCTGGGTTCCATCCCCAGCACCTCACAAAACCAGGCATAGTGCCACATGCCTGTCATCCCAGTTCTCAGAAGGTAGAGGCAGGAAGACCAGGAATTCAAGGTCACCCTCAGCTATATAGGGAGTTGGAGCCAGTCTGGGCTATATGGGTCCCTGTCTCACAAAAGAATATGGTTCCTGAGCAAAGCATGGTGGCACATATCTTTAAATCTAGCACTCAGGAGGCAAGATAGATGGATCTCTGTGAGATTGAGGCCAGCCTGGTCTACAGAGCAAATTCCAGGCCAGCTGGGGCTACATGGAGATCCTGTTCCAAAAACAAAAACAAAGAAAACAAAAGAACACGACTCCTTGGAGATGTCCCAGGCCATGCAGGGGACACACAGGCCACAGTGAGGGTAGACAGTCTTACCATGTGCCTTCCCATTTGGGTCCTGTCTCCTTTACTAAACCTCAGGACTGTGCTTCCGAGCCTTCTGCCCTGCAGTGCCAAGTGCAGACACCACCCACAACAGGGGTTCAGAAAACAGGGCATGATGGTGCACACTTGTAATCCCAACATTCTGGAGGCTGAGGCAGGAGGAATGTGAATTCAAAGCTATCCTGTAAATACACAACGAGACTCTATATCAAAGCAAATAAATGGGGACTGGGAATGTAGCTCTGCTGGCATAGTGCCTTCCTAGCATGCACAAGGCCTTGGGTTCCTTCCTAGGACCACCTAAACTGGACGTTGTGGTGTATGTCTGAAATCTCAGTACTGGGGAGGTAGAGACGAGATTCTCAGGAATTCAAGTTCATCCTGAGCTACATAAAAAGTCTGAAACCAGCCTAGGCTACATGAGACCCTGTCTCAAAACAAACAAAGGAAAAAGCGTTTTGAATTAGCTTCTGCGTTCTCTTCCTCTCTCCATCCAGACCAATTATTTAGGATAATAGTGCAAACTCATGAGCGGGGACTACAAGGTGTGTCCTGCCTGAACAAAGTCTTCATCAGTCTGTCGGATATCACAATTACCCTGCTTAAGGGCAAATATATACTGGTGAGTCCTGTCCCTCATCCATCCCAGCCAGCCACTCTACAACCAGCTCCACCCTCCCCAAACCTACTCAATTATGGGCTTCAATAAAACAAAGATGGCCATGCTTCAAACCAGCCTAGGTGGTAGAGGTTGGAAGGATGCTATGGAGGGGCAGTGTCTTTAACAGTGGATATGATGTTGTAGTCCTGGAGTCCTCTCTGACCCCTGAATCAGTCTCTCTGTCTCCTTCTTCTGCCAGGTTGGGGGTCAGAAAGTCACTCTCCCAACCATACCTTTTAATGGCGTCTTCCTGAGTTCCAGTGGGCGATTTGTGGAGCTGAGAACGACATTTGGTTTGCATGTGAGATGGGATGGTGACCAGCAGCTTTTTGTAACCTTGCCCAGGTGAGGGACAACCCAGCCAGGCGGCTGACACCTCTCTCAGAACCCTTCCATCTCTCTTCACCTTCCTGCCATGCCAGTAACTTGAGACTAATTATTTATACATGTCCCTTAGACTGGGAAGCATCTGATCCAAGTGGCAGGTGGGAAACAGGAGGAAATGGGGTCAGGGCAGTGGAATAATAGAAGGATGCATACAAAATGCCTTGCAGATGTGTTAGAAGGAATTGCTCAGGGGCTTTAGCTCTCTGTCAAGAGAGCTGTCGCTGGATATCATTCTTCAAGGAAGACAGGCCCCCTAGATGGATGGATAAGGACAAGACAAGCTTTGTGGAAATAGTGGCACAGGGAGGTAGTTCAGTTGGTAAAGTGCTGCCCATGCAAGCATGAAGACATGAGTTCCATCCCTGGAACCCACATAAAAAAGCCAGGTGTGGTGGCATGCTTGTAATCCCAGCACTGGGGAGGAGGAGCCAAAAGGATTCCTGAGGCTGGCTGGCCAGCCATCTAGTTAGATGGGTAAGCTCCAGGGCCAGAGAGAGATCCTATCTTAAAAATTAGGTTGTGGGGCTGGAGAGATGGGCTCAGCCATTAAGAGCACTGGCTGTTCTTGCAGAGGACCCAGGTTTGGTTCCTAGCACCCACATTGCTGCTAACAATTGTTCATAACTCTAGTTCCAGGGACTCCAACGCCCTCTTCTGACCTCTGTGGGCAACGTAGGACATGGGTGCACATACCTACATGCAGACAATACATTCACAAACATAAAATAAAAAGAATAAATAGAATTTTTTTTTACTATTTTTATTTTATGTGTATGAGTATATTGCACACGTGTGTAAGTGCACCCGTGTCGTGCAGTGCCCACAGAAGTCAGAAGAAGATACCAGATCCTCTGGAACTAGAGTTACAGATGGTTGTTAGCCGCCATGTGGGTTCTGGAATTCGAACCTGTGTCCTCTGCAAGAGAAGTCAGTGCTTTTAACCACTGAGCTGTCTCTCCTGCCCCAAAAATAATTTGGGTATTAAAGATAAATAAAATATTTAAAAATTAAGGTGGAGGGGCCAGAGCGCTGGCTCAGGGGTTAGGAGCACTGGCTGCTCTTTCAGAGGACCCAGATTCAATTCCCAGCACCCACATAGTGGTTAACAACTGTCTGTAACTCCAGTTCCAGGACAATCCAATGACCTCTTCTGACCTCTGTGGGCACTGCACGACACAGGCGCACTTACACACATACAAGCAATCGATTCATACACATAAAATAAAAATAATAAACAAAATATTTAAAAAATTAAGGTGGAGCCAGATGTGGCAACCCACTCCTTTAATTCCAGCACTTGGGGAACCAAGGCAGGTAGATTTATGTGAGTTCAAGGCCAGTCTGGTCTGACACAGTGAGTTCTAAGCCAGCCAGTATTACATAGTGAGACCCTATCTTGAAACAAATTAAGGTGGAGGGGCTGAGGAGATGGCTCAGTGGAGAAGAGCACTTGTTGCACAAGCATAAGGACCTGAGTTTGAATCCTAAGCACCTATATAAAAACCTGGGCATGGCTATGTGTGTACCCATATAGCCAGTGCTGTGAGAGGCAGAGACTAGAGGATCTCTGGGGCTTGCTGGCTGCCAGCCTAGCTCCAGGTACAGTGAGAGACCCTGTCTCAAGGGAATACGGTGAGGAGTGATGGAACAGGACACTGATGTCTTTCTCTGACCTCTGTGGGCATATATGAGTATGTGCATAAACCACACGCTCACACACACACACACACACACACACACACACAAAATAAGATGACAAGTGCCTGAGGAAGACACCCAGTGTCAACCTCTGACCTCCACAACCATATACATACATGTATATGTAGACCTATGTACATATACACACATACACAAAGAGAGAAAGAGCGACACTTTCAAGACATAACCTATGTGTGGTCCTCGTGTTCCCAGTGCCTGCCACAGAGCCCATGTTGGAAATGGGTATTCTCAACCCTCTCCTGCCTCTTGCACTGAGGGCTCACAGCTCACTGTCCCCTTACTGTAGTCTCTCTGATGAATGAGACCTCTTTTCCCATTGATAACTTACCCTTTTCCTGGACCCCACAGCACCTATTCAGGTAAAATCTGTGGTTTCTGTGGAAACTATGACGGGGACGGCAGTAACGACTACCTGAAGCAGGATGGCACCTGGGCCCACAGTGAGGAGGAGCTGGGGAACAGCTGGCAGTTGAAAGATGACACAAAGTGAGTGAGGAGCCCCACTGGGAACAAAGCATGTCCCTCCCCTTCTCAGTCTTCCTGCCCTTTGCCCATTTTGAGATTACCACAGCTGGGTGTGATGGCTCATGTCTCATCCCAGAAGACACAGAAGCCTCTGAAGCTGGAGACATAGCAAGAGAATATTTCAAAACACCAGGAGCTTTAGCTCAGTGGTAGAGCATTGCCTAGGATTCCCCCAGTGTGGGGCTGAAGGTGTGACTCAGAGGTAGAGCACCTGCCTAGAATCCCCCAGTGAGGGGCTGGGGTGTGGCTCAGTGGTAGAGCACCTGCCTAGGATCTCCCAGTGAGGGGCTGGGGTGTGACTCAGCAGTGGAGCACTTACCTGGAATCCCCCAGTAAGGGATTAGAGTGTAGCTCATCAGTAGAGTGCCTGTCTAGAATTTCCCAGTGAGGGGCTGGGGGGCGGGCATGGCTCAGCATTGGAATACCTGGTTAACACGCCCCAGGTTTGATCCCCAGCAATAGCAAAACAAAAATAACAACAACAGCAACAAATCCAAGTGTAGTGGTTCTGGCCCGTGATCTAATAGGCTTTCAGGAATATAGGGAAGTTCAAGACCAAGCCTAGGCTAACATAATGAGACTGTCTCAAAAAGAACAACACAAACTGACTAGCATTGCTTTTTTCTTTTTTCCTCTCTGGAAATCCCAGCTGCTCCACCTCCTTTGAGCTCTTCTACCCTTGCTGACTACTTGGGCTGGGTCTCTTCCAGGTGTCCAACGAGTGAAAAGAAACCCTCGTCTTGTGATTCAGCCTTGAGGAGCCATATGTTGGGATCCAAGTACTGTGGCCAACTTGTTGACTCCCAGGGAACCTTTGAGTATGGAGGAAGGCGGGCAGGCCTCAATAGGGCTGCTGGGCTCCCTGGACTCCTCTGAGGTGGAGTCTGGAGGCTCTGATCCACTTGCCCTCTGACTTGGCCTCTTTCCTCAGGGCATGTCTGCTCCACCTGAAGGCCTCGTCCTTTTTGGAAAACTGTGTAACTGACATGTGCAGTTTCCAGGGTCTCGAACAGAAGCTGTGTGAGCACATGTCAGTCATGACTGCGACCTGCCAGGATGCTGGCTATGCCGTGAAATCCTGGAGGGAACCCCAATTCTGCCGTGAGTTTGTCCCTAAAGCATGGGGAGACTATGTGAGACTGCTTCCTACAGATCCAGATGGGGTTCCCCAGGGGAGACCCCCTTCCCTACTTCCATATGAGTGTAAGGCATTGGGTAGAGTTAAACATTGTTGAGAAAGTCAGTAAGTTGGGCCTGATGGCACAGTCCTGTATTCTGAGCTACTTGAGAAGCAGAGGCTGGGGAATCCCAAGTTCAAGGCCAACCTGGGCTGCAGAGTGAGTTCAGCACGAGCCTGGGCAACTTAGAGAGACTTGTCTGAAAACAAAAAAGTGAAAAAGAGGGCTGAAAAAAAAAAGAGGGCAGTATGTGTGACTCAACAGGAGAGAGAGCATGCTTGTCTAGAATCCTCTAATGAGGGGCTAGGGGTGTGGTTAGAATCCCCCAGTGAGGGGCTGGAGGATGGCTCAGTGTTAGAGCACCTGCCTAGAATCTCCCAGTGAGGGGATGGGGTATGGATCAGTGGTAGAGCACTTGCCTGGCATGCCCAAGTCTCTGGACTCAATCCTCAGTACCAGAGAGATTGAGAGATTGAAAGAGAGAGAGAGATAGGGAAGGGAGGGAGGGAGGGAGAGAGGGAAGGAGGGAGGGAGGAACGAAGGAAGGAAGGAAGGAAGGAAGGAAGGAATGAAGGAAGGAAGGGACTGACAGTCACTTGGAAATTTCAGATTGTGCAGGAAACCAGCCAATGTGCTTGGCCAAGTTCTCTAACACATGCCTTCAGTGCAGATTGAATGGCTTGCAGCTCCTGGAATGGCTCGGCTCTCTAGGAAATGAGTACAGGCCCATTCCCAGAACCAGGCTGTTTCCAGCTTGCCAGATGCCACAGTGCTTTCTGGAGCATGTCCACACAGTATCATGATCGTATCTTCTCTCTCATTGTTCTTGGCTTTCATGGAGGTCTGTGGTGGTAGCATCCAAGCAACAGGCTTGGCATACACAGCTGTTTATGTTTTGTTTTGCTTAGCTTTAAAACAATACTTTTTTATCTTTAAAAAATATTTTATTATTATTTTTATTTTATGTGTATGCGTGTATTGCCTGCATGTAGGTAAGTGCACCTGTGTTGTGCAATGCCCGTGGAGGACAGAAGAGGCCATCGGATTCCCTGGGACTGGAGTTTCGGACAGTTGTTAGCTGCCATGTGGGTGCTGGGATTCGAACCTGGATCTTCTGCAAGAACAGCCAGTGTTCTTAACTGCTGAGCCCTATTTTATTTATTATTTTTTATTTTATGTGTATGAGTGTATTGCCTGCATGTATGTAAGTACACCCATGTCATGCAATACCTACAGAGGTGAGAAGAGGGTGCTGGATTCCCCTGAAACTGGAGTTACAGATGGTTGCTAGCCACCATGTGGGTGCTGGGAATCAATCTTGGGTCCTCTACAAGAGCAGCCAGTGCTCTTAACCATTGAGTCATCTCTCCAGCCCTGCTTTGCTTTTGAGACAGGGTCCCCTGTAGCCCAGGCCTGCACCACCATGACTGGTTTATGTGCTGTTGGGGATGGAACTCAGGGCTTCATGCATACTATGCAACATGCTACCTACTGAGCTATATCCTCAGCCCATAGACAGTTGTTTTAGCTTTTAGTGGCATACCCCAACAGTCAGTCAGGCTCCTGGGTTCATCTTCTGAAAGCCATTAAGATTAGTCACAGTGGGACTGGAGAGATGGCTCAGCAATTAAGAGCACTGGCTGCTCTTGCACAGGACCTGAGTTTGGCTCCCAGTACCCACATAGCAGCTAATGACAGTCCTTAACTCCAGTTCCAGGGGATCCAACACCCTCTTCTAGCCTTTGTGGGTATTGCATACATGGGTGCACTTACATACATCCTGGCAAACACTCATACACATAAAAATAAATTTTAAAAAAATTTAAAAAGATTAGTGACAGCCTCTCTAGCTAGGACCTTGTGGTATGCTCTCCCCATTTCTCTCTTGGTCTCATCTTTAGAAATTATGTACTGAGACAGGGTCTCACTGTGTAGCCCCTAGCTGGCCTAGAACTTGCTACGTAGACCAGGCTAGCCTTGAATTCATAGAGATTTGCCTACCTCCGCCTCCCAAATGCTGGAATTAAAGGCATGCATCACCACCCATGGCACCTGTATCCTTCTTACCTAAGCTTCTCCCTCCATAGCCCTGGTCTGTCCTCAACATAGCAAGTACTCTCTATGTACCTCGCCATGCCCAGAAACCTGCCACCCGGAATTTCCTGCCAAGCCCTGCCCAGGCCAGTGTGTGGAAGCCTGTGAGTGTGATCCTGGCTTCGTCCTCAGTGGCTTGGAGTGTGTCCCTCGAACCCAGTGTGGGTGCCTCAGCTCTGAGGGGCACTACTTCAAGGTTAGTGAGCAGCTGGGTGGACCTCTGAACCCTAAGCTAGAAAGGACTAGCTCTGGGTTCTAAAACATGTGGTACAACCTTGTGTGTGTGTGTGGGGGGGGTGATAGTCAGGAAAGAGAGGGCCAGGTTTGGAAACTGGGGTACAAGTCAAAGGACTTACACTTTATTTATTATGGTGCCTGGGGTAAAACCTAGGGCCTTGTGCATGCTAAGCAAGAGCTGATCTATCACTGAACCACAATCCCAGCCCCTCACTGGGGGATTCTAGGCAGGTTCTCTACCACTGAGCTACAGTTCTAGTCAATGGACCAATGCTCTGGCCTTTATGCTGGCTTTTTTCTTTCTTCTTTTGCAACCTCAGATTTTTTTTTGAGACAGGGTCTCCCTGTAGCCCCTGCTGTCCTGGAACTCACTATGTAGACCAGGCTGGCCTTGAACTCACAAAGATCTGCCTGCCTCTGCCTCCCAAGTGCTGGGATTAAAGGCGTGTGCCACCACACCCAGCTACAATCTCAGATTTTTGAGGCAAGTTATGTAATCTTGACTGGCTTTGAACTCACAATCCTCCTGCCTCAGTCTCCCCAGTGCTAGTATTAGAGGTAAACACCACCAAACCTACCTTGCTAACCTTCCCCCACCATGTTCTGCTCTGCCTTCTAGTTACTTCTATCTAATAGAATCCCTTATATGAGGCCCTACTGCAACACTTCCTGCTTGGAGCCTTCCTGAAAAACTAAGTCAGAGGCATTTTTATGGGGTGTGGTAGTATATGCTTGTAATGTCAGTGTTGGAGAGGCTGAGGCAGGAGGATCTTAAGTTCAAGGCCAGCTTGACTCTTGTAAAAGCAACAAACAAAAGCAAAACAAAAAACTCAACCAAACAAAAAGACTGTATCTCTCCAGAATAAGAAGTGCTCATGGTGGGAAGCTGTTCTTGGAGGTTCTTTCTGTTTTGTTTGGGTGCACATCACTTTATTTATTTATTTATTTATTTATTTATTTATTTAACTTTGTGTGTGTGTGTGTGTGTGTGTGTGTGTGTGTCTGTCTGTCTGTCTGTGTCTGTGTGGATGTGTGCACATGAATCAGGGGCCCTGGGAGGCCAGAAGAGGGTGTCAGAGTCCATGGAGCTGGAGTTATAGATGGTTATGAACTGCCCGAGGTACACTCCTAAAACCAAATTCAGGTCCTCTGAAGAACAGTACGTGCTCTTAACCACTGACCCATCTCTCCAGCCCCCTAAATTTTTAAAATTATATTTATTACAATTTTTCAATTTATGTGTATGTGCACACACTTGCAAGTGTATACCACATTGTGCATGTGAAGTTCAGAGAACAACCTTAGGGAGTAAGCTCTCTCTTTCCATCAGGTGGGTTCCAGGACTGAACTCAGGTCATCAAATTTGACAGCAAGTGCTCCCACCCACTGAGCCTTTATTTATTTATTTATTTACTTATTTACTTATTTATTTGTATGTATGTGCTGTATATGTGCATGTGTATGTGGGTGGACAAGCCAATGGGTGCACATGCAGAGAACAGAGGAGGATGCTGAATGTCCTGCTCTTTCACTTTCTGGTCTAACCACCCTTTGAGACAGGGTTGAACCTGGGACTTGCTGTTTCGGCTACAATGGCGATCAGCGAGCCCCAGCAATTCTCTGGTCTCTGTCCCTCATAGCACTGAAGTTATAGGAGTATTTTTGCACACTAAGTGCTCTTACTCCATGAGCCATCTTCTCAGCCCCATCTTTGTTTTCTAGTTTGTTTCTGCTTTGAGACAGTGTCTCCCTCTACCTCCCAAGCTGACCTGAAACTATGTAGCCCAGCCTCATTATGTGGCCTCAGCTGATGGTCAGTGTCCAGAGTGCTGGGATTACATGTGTGAACCATCACACCCATTGGTGACAAGGATGATTTCCATTGAGCTCATTCTCTTTTTTTTTTGGAGCCAGGGTGTCCCTGCGGCTGGCCTGGAACTCACTGTGTAGACCATGCTAGCCTTGATTTTACAGAGATCCACCTGCCTCTGTCTCCCCCATGCTGCAACTAAAGAGCTGAGCCACCATGCACATTTAGTTCATTCTTTTTTAAAAAAATTATTTATTTTTATTTTATGTGTATAAGTGTATTGCCTGCATGTATGTAAGTGCACCCATGTAGCGAAAATCCTGAGAAGGCCAGAAGAGGGTGTTGGATCTCCTGGAACCACAGTTACCAATGGTTGTTAGCTGTCATGTGGGTGCTGAGAATTGAACCAGGGTCCTCTGGAAGAGCAGACAATGCTCTTAACCTCGGAGCCAGCTCTCCAGCCACCCTTGGTTCATTCTTAAATTCTTAACACTAGGAATAATAATAATAATAATAATACACTGAAAATAATGAAAAACATGACCAAGTGATTGAGTCAGTGAGCCAGCATCAGGTGGTTTTGTTTTTATTTATTTACTTATTTATTTTTGGTTTTGGAGATGGTTTTTGGTAGCTCAGGCTGGCCTTGAACTCACTGTGCAAGTGGGGATGACTTTGAATTCCTAATCCTTCCTTCCACTTCTGGAGTGCTAGGATTACAGGTGGCTTTTTTTTAAAAAAAGTAGGTTCTCCCTAAGTAGTCCAGGCTGGCCCAGAACTTGTGAGCCTCCTGCCTCAGTCTTCTAAGTTTTGGGATTCCAGATGTGCACAACCATGCCTGTTCAATACCAGACTTTTGCCCCTAAGGGTAATGCTTTAGGAAGACCAGATCTTGGGAGAGAAAGTCAGCCTTTACTTTTTCCTTCTGTTCCCCAGATTCAGGAGCAGTGGTTTAAGCCGTACTGCAAAGAGCTCTGCACCTGTGAAGGCAACAACACTATTAGCTGCCAGGCCTGGAAGTGTAAGGCCCAGGAGGCCTGTGGCCAGAAGAATGGCATATTAGGCTGCCATGCCCAAGGTGAGCTGTCAGGTCACCACAGAAAGTGAGCAGGTGCTTCATGTGAGAGTAGCGTGTGATGATCACCTAGGAAACAAACCTATGTGTGAGAAGTCTCTAGGCTGGATGGAGGTGGGAAGACCCTCCCTAAATGTGGGCAGCACCCCTCAGGCCCTGGGGTCCGGGAATGCTGACCAGGAGAAGCGAGGTGAGCCCCAGGTCGGTGCTTCCGGACTGCGGTGCCACGTGACCCGCTGCCTCTCGCCCCGGCTGCCTCCAAAGGACGGGAGTAAAGAGGAGAGAATTGGGAAGAAGAGCCGCTGTGCCCCCAGGAAATCCCGGAAGGAAGAGCAGTCGTGACAGGAGGAACAGCAGCTGCGCTGCCAGGCTTCCACAGGAGGAAACTCCGAGAGGAAGAACGCCAGCAAAAGAGCACGTGACAGATACTTCCGGGACCAGCGGCACGGGGGAACGCGACTGATACTTCCGGGAGGAGCGGCAGTGGGGAACTCGACAGATACTTCCGGGAGGAGCGGCAGTGGGGAACTCGACAGATACTTCCGGGAGGAGCGGCAGTGGGGAACTCGACAGATACTTCCGGGAGCAACAGCCACGCCTAGAGCGGACCGGTGATTCCGAGGAGATGAAGAGCTCCCCTGGAAGGCGATGGCACTTCTGGAAGGAGCAGCGTCCCCACCAGAATCCCACGGAAGATCCCCGAGGACGCGCGCCTCCAGGAAGCGGAAGCGCTTGTGCTCCAGGTCTCGGAACCCGGGACGCTAGAGCAGGTGTTCCAGTGTGTTTCGGCCAAGGGCAAAGATGTCAGTACTGCCCTACATCCTACACCTGCCCAGCTTCGAGTGAAAGAGGAGGAAAAACTCTGACCTTACATGTGTCTTTCTTCCAGAATATTTATTTATTTATTTATTTATTTATTTATTTATTTATTTACTTATTTAGTTAGTTAGTTAGTTAGTTTGTTTGTTTGTTTTGACACATCGTCTCACCATGTAGCCTGAGCTGGCTTGGAACTCACTGTGAAGACCAGGCTGGCCTCCACCTGCCTCTGTCTCCAGAGTGCTGGGACCAAAGTTGTATGCCACCACACCCATCTCTTCTGCTGCACTCATTTTATTACTTTCTACTCCTGGGCCTTTCCTTCTTCCTTGGGTGGTGGGTGGTTTTGTTTTTTTTTTTTTTTTAACAGATTTTGTTTTTATGTATATGAGTATTTTGCCTGCATATGTGTAAGTGCACCACATGCATGCAATACTATGGAGGCCATAAGACCAGATCAGATCCCTTGGAACTGGAGTTACAGATGGTTGTTCAAGCCTCCATGTGGGTCCTGGGTACTGAGTCCTGGTACTCTGCAAGAACAGCCAATGCTCTTAACCACTGAGCCATCTCTCCAGCTCCCAGGTTTTTTGTTTTTAAAAAATAAGATTTATATTTTTAAATTTATGTATATGTGTCTGTGTATGCCAAGTGCCAGAAAAAGCCAGAAGGCATCCAATCCTCTGGAATTGGAGTTACAAGTGGTTGTGAGCTGCCTAACTTGGGTGCTGGGAACTGAACCCAGGTCCTCTACAAGAGCAGTAAGTGCTCTTAACAACTGAACCATCTCTCCAGCCCTTAAGTAGTTCTTTATTGTGAGATGTGTTTGTTTTTTGGTACAGATACGATTTGCATTAAAAAAAAAATAAGTCAAGCTGGGTGTGGTGGCAAACATCTTTAGTTCAAGCACTGGGGAGGTAAAGGCAGGCAGATCTCTGAGATCAAGAACAGCCTGGTCTACATAGCAAGTTCCAGGCCAACTGGGGCTACAGAGAGACCCTGTTTCAAAAAGACCAAAAGAAAAAAAAAGAAAAGAAAAAGAAAAAAGGAAAAGAGGCCAGGGCTAGGATCCCAAACTCCCCTTAAGAACATGCCTGCAGTGACCTTAAACCTTCTACTAAACCTCAAGTTTCTACCACCTCCCAGTAATATTGAGCTGGGGACTAAAATTCTAATGCATGGATCAGTGAGAACATTCTAGATCCAAACTGTAGAGTCTGTGGGGCAGTTTTTCAGAGTAGGGACATTAAGGGCTCAGAAAGAAGTTCCTTGACTTTCCTGAGCCAAGCTAATCAGTCTTCCTAGACGCTTCTGCAGTGTGGGCCAGTGAGACACCAAAGCCTATCCTCTCCCCTTCAGGGTCTGCCACCTGCTCTGCCTTTGGTGACCCCCACTACCTGACATTTGATGGAGCCTTGCACCGTTTTATGGGTACCTGCACTTACATCCTGACCCGGCCTTGCTGGACTGGGTTTCTAGAGAACAACTTTATCGTGAGCACCACCAATGAACACCGTAATGGCAACTTGGAAATCTCCTATGTCAAAGCTGTCCACATACAGGTCTTTGACCTCAAAATCTCCCTGATCAAAGGTCGAAAGGTCGTGGTGCGTTTCTCCTACTGCCTCTTAGACTCCACCCCATAACCCTTTCCTCCTCCTCCTCTTCTTTTTTCTTTTAGTTGTTACTGTTATTTTGAAACATAGTCTCCTGTAGACCAGGCTGGCCCAGAATTCACTATGTAGCTGAGGATGACCTGATCCTCATGCCTCTACCTCCAAGTACTGAGATTATAGATACCCACCACCATGCCCAGATCCCCTCCTTTTAAAATTTATTATTTTAGCCGGGCATGGGGCACATGCCTTTAATCCCAGCACTTGAGAAGCAGAGGCAGGAGGATCTCTGTGATATCTAGGCAGCCTAGTCTACATAGTGAGTTCCAGGCCAGCTGGGGCTACAGCTGAGAGACCCTGTCTCAAAAAGACCCAAAAAAAATATGTGTATGAATGTTTTGCCTGCATGTATATATGTACCCCACATACACGCTGGCTCCTGTAGGAGCCAGAAGAGGGCTTTGGATAAACTGGAACTATAGTTACAGATGGTTGTTAGCTACCATGTGGGTACTGGGAATCAAACCCAAGTTCTCTCCAAGAGCAACAAGTACTCTTAACCGCTAGGCATCTCTCCAGCCCCTCTTCCTTTTTAAAATGCATACGTGTGTATGTAGGTACACTTGTATTGCAGGTGTATGTGCATGCAGAAGCTAGAGGTCAACTTCGGGCCTCTTCCTCAGTTGCTCTCCACCTTGTTTTGTTTCTGTTTGTTTGAGACAGAGACAGTGTCTCCCTGGTAACCTCAGCTGACCTGGAACTCACCCTGTAGACCAGGCTGGCCTCTGTCTCAGAGATCTGCCTATCTCTGCCTCCTGAGCACTGAAAGTAAAGGTGTGTGTCACCATGCCAAGCTCTCCTCCTAGTTTTTTGAGAGGGAGTCTCACTGAATCTGAAGTTCACTGATTCAGCTAGACTGACAGGCCAGCAAGCCCCAGTGATCTGTCTGTCTGTCACCCGAGTGCTGGGATGACAAGCTTGTGCCACCATGCCTATCATTTTCGTAGGTTCTGGGGATCAAATTCAGGTCCTCGTGCTCAGGTGGCAAGCACTTTACTGATTGGGCCATCTCCCCTGCCAGTTTTTTAGTGGGGGGTCGGGGGGTGGGGGCATAGTCTTACGTAGCCCATGGCAACCTCAAACTCATGTAGCCAAGGATGACACTGAACTCCTGATCCATCTGCCTCTGTCTCCCAAGTGCTAGAATTATAGGTGTGCCCCACTATGTCCAACCTTGGTTTTTTGTTTTGTTTTGAGACAGGGTTTCATGTAGCCCAGACTGACCTTGAATCTGCCCATTTTTTCCCCTTTAAACCCCTGTTGCATTTGATCTTTGTCTAAAGTTCCTCTCTACTATATCCTCCCACTTCTGCAGGTGAATGACCATCGAGTGGCTCTACCTGTGTGGCCTTCACAAGGCCGGGTGACCATTAGGTTGAGTGGCATCTTTGTCCTGCTCTACACGAACTTTGGGCTTCAAGTTCGTTATGATGGAAACCACCTGGTGGAGGTGACGGTGCCCTCCTCCTACATGGGCATGCTCTGCGGGCTGTGTGGTGAGCACCCTCCCATGTCTCCGTTAGGTGTCTTCAGGACCTGTCAACTAATGAATGAGTTGAGGACCCTGGGCTTAAGAACAGGTGCCTGGGAAAGCCAGAAGTGAAGAGGAGAGGGTTGCCAAATATGATGCAAACTTGTAATTCCAGTACTTGGGAGGTAGAAGCAGGAGGACCAGAAATTAAGGTCATCCTCAGTTACATAGTAAGGTCAAGGCTATCCTATGCTGCATAAAACCCTTTTGGAAACAAACAAATATGAGTAACAATAAAGTGAAATGGGGAATGGCAATGTAGCTCAGTTGGTAGAGCACTTGCCTGGCAAGCAGGAATCTCTGGGTTGCAGCAATAGCACCACATAAACCAGGCTTGCTAGTGCACACCTGTAGTCACAGTACCAAAGATAATCCAGTTTAGACATCCTTGGCTATATAGTTGCAAAGATAGCCTGGGCTGCATGAGAACTTACCTTAAAAAGAAAAAACAGAGCTGGGTGTGGTGGTGTGTGCCTTTAATCCCAGCACTCTGGAGGCAGAGGCAGGCAGATCTTTGTGAGTTCAAGACCAGCCTGGTCTACATAGTGAGTTCCAGGACAGCTGGAGCTACAGAGAGACCACTGTTACCAAAGAAGGAGGAGGAGGAGGAGGAGGAAGAGGAGGAGGAAGGGGAGGAGGAGATGGAGGAGGAGGAAGGATGGAGGAGGAGGAAGGATGGAGGAGGAAGAGGAAGAAGAAGAAGAAGAGGAAGGGGAGGAGGAGAAGGAGGAAGAGGAAGAAGAAAAAGAAGAAAGAAGAAAGAAAAACTCAAAGATAAAAGGGTTAACCTTGATATGCAAAGAGGCACCAAGTATAGGGTTGTCTGCTGGGATTATAGAAGCACTATGTAATGCTGGGGATGGAATTCAGGGTTTCCTGCATACCACAGGCCATTGGGAAGACTAGGGCGTCTGAACTGGGAGCACCCATAGCTCCTCCGCTGCCTCTTATCACTGCTGTGCTTCTTCAGGGAACTATAACAATAACAGCTTGGATGACAATCTGCGTCCAGACAAGATGCCTGCAGACTCACTTCTGCTGGGACCTGCCTGGAAGATGCCAGAAATCTCTGAGCCTGGGTGAGCTGGACCTGGGGCAGTTGGGCCTGGGGGAGCTGGGCATAGGGAGGCTTGAGGGAGCTGGGTGGGGAACCTGGCTTGGGTGGGGACTGGGGGAGCTGGCCTGGGAACTTGGCTTGGGACAGATCCTTGGGAGAAGCCTGTCAGTGACTGTCCCTTGTGTGTCTGGGCTCCCTCTGTGCTGGATACCCTACTATCACAAAGCCAGTAAGTCCCCTGTTCATCCTAAGACCGGGGATGGGTCTCAGGGCCTTATGTGTATCAGACACACACTTAACCACTGGCTAGGACTGCTTTCCTAACCTGAGCCTGGAGTTTTGAAAAGATCTATGTTCCAGTAGGGATGGACATGTAGCTCAGTGGGTAGAGTGTTCAACTAGCATTCATGAAACCCTGGTTTCCATTCCCAGTACCGCATAATTGGGGTGCGGCATACCTATAATCCCAATTTGTGGGAGGTGGAGGCCTCAAGATCAGGAGTTCAAGGTTATCCTTGTGTACATAGCAAGTTTAAGGCTAGCCTGGGCTGTATGAAACCTTGTTAAAAAAAGAGTAGGGGCTGGAGAAATGGTTCAGCAGTAAAAAGCACTTCCCTTTTGCAGAGGGCCCAAGTTTAGTTCCCAGCACCCACATGAAATGACTTACAAACATCTGTAACTCCATCTTGAGGAGATCTGACACATTCTTCAAGCTTCCTTGGGCACCCACACACCTGTGGTGGACACACAATACACATAAAATTAATAAATCTTTTAAAAAAAAGTAGGGGCTTGAGAGATGGCCTAGTTCTTAAGAGCACGAGCTGCTCTTGCAGAGGACCCATGTTTGGTTCCCATCATCCACATCAGGTGGCTAACATTTGTAACTCCAGTTCCAGGGGATCTGATGCCCTCTTCTGGCCTCTGAAGGCACCTGCATTCATGTCCACATACCCACACACAGACATACACATATCCACATAATTAAAAATAATAAAATAAAACTGAGTTAATCCCAGCACTTGAGAGGCAGAGGTAGAAGGATCTCTGTGAGATCAAGTCCATCCTGGTCTACATAGCAAGTTCTAGGCCAGCTGGGGCTAAAGGGAGACCCTGTCTCAAAAAGACCAGTAAAATAACTCTTACAAATAAATAATGAAACATGAAAAGAAAAGCTGCCGTGGCTTCTTGGGCCCATGGCAGCTGGTTTCTCTTTGGTTTGCCTTTGACGTAGCCACCTGAGAAGTCTGACTGCTCTCTAGCCTGCCTCCTTCTTGCTGCATCTCCTGGCCTTCTCCCTGGAGGGTGCCTTTGAGTTTCCTCCCCATTTCCCTCTGTGGCATTGCTTCAGGTTGGGGTCACCGTTTCTCAGACCCAAGTTTCTGTCCTTTGCTTTCCTCTCATGCAGCTGCTTCTTGGTTGGGGGCAAGTCTTCCACCTGCCAGGAGAACAACATGGAGAACATCTGGAATGAAAACTGCGACATCTTGATAAACCCTCTGGGTAAGAGATGGACCCTCCCTCCCCGGGCCCTTTGTCTTCCACTCTGCAGGTCATGGAGGGAGACAGAACCAGAAGAGAAGCCAATGGAAATTCAGGGAAGCCAATGGGAGTACAGAGTGGCCAGGGGTCACTTTCTTGGGAGCGGTGACTGATGGGCCCTCTTTGATTGATGTCTTAAGTCATAGTCTCCCAATACATTCAGTTTTGTTGTTTTGTTTTGAGACAGGTCTCATGTAGCCCAGGCTGGCCTTGAACCCACTGTGTGGCCAAGGATGACTGAACTTCTGTTCCTCCTGCCTCCATCTCTTGAACTTGGGATTACAGATGTGTACCACCACATCCAATTTATGTAGGGTATGCCAGTCAAGCACTCTATCTACTGAAATACATTTATAGCCAGTTTGTCTTTTTGCTTTTCAGATAAGGTCTCAGTTTTAGTTCAGGCTGGACTCAGTCTCTCTGTGTAGCCCAAGCTGCCCTCACACTCACAGTGATCCTCCTGCTTCAGCCTCCCAAGTACTGGAGTTATAGGCATGTGACACTATGCCTAGCTAGGTTTTGATGGTTGTCAAATTGGCTGTACAAGGGCTAGGGAAATATCTCAGCTGGAAAAGTGCTTGCCATACAAGTTCAAGACCAGAGTTTGATCCTCAGAACCCACATAAAAAAAAATCCATGTGTGGGGATGGCCAGATGGCTCAGAGAGTAAAGGTGTAAGCTTACCATCAGGTCGAATGACCTGGGTTTGATCCCTGAAACCTGCATGGTGGAAGGAGAGAACCAACTCTTCCAGGTTGTCCTCTGACCTTCACAGGTCTACTGTAGCATGTATACACCCTTCTCCCACAAAATAATAATACATTTTTTTAAGATCCAGGCACAATGCCGGGCGTGGTGGCGCACGCCTTTAACCCAGCACCTGGGAGGCAGAGGCAGGCAGATCTCTGTGAGTTCAAGGCCAGCCTGGTCTACATAGTGAGTTCCAGACAGCTGGGGCTACAGGGAGACCCTGTCTCAAAAAGAACCCCGCCAGAAAAAATCCAGGCATGGTGGCGCACACTTGTAATCCTAGGGCTGAAGGGATAGGAGAATCCCTAGAGCTTAACCTACTTGGTGTAGTTCCATCCGGGCCACTGAAAGTCTGTGTGTATCTCCAAAGAACAAGTGAGAGGACCAAAGGGATGGCTCAGAAGGTAAAGGTGCTTGCCATCAAGCCTGATAACCTGAGTTTGATCCCCAGGGCCTGCATAGTGGAAAGAGAGAACCAACTCTGCAGGTTATCCTCTGCCCTTCATTGTATGCTGTGGCACATGTGCCCCCCCACACTTACATATACATACACACTCACATATACACTAAATAATAAAATAAATTTTAAAAAGGTAGGGCCAGAGAGAAGACTTAGCAGGTAAAGGCATTTACTATGCAAGCCTGCTTACCCGAGTTCAATCCCCAGAACTCACATAAAGGTGGAAGGAGCAAACCAACTTCATAGAGTTGTTCTCCAACTTCCACATGTGTGCCATGGCACATATGCCCACATGCACATATCATGCACACACTCACCATCATCATCATCATCATCAATCAAAATTTTAAAAAAGGGGGATGTTATTCCTGAAGAATGGCACCTCTGTTCTCCACTGCATGCATGTACACATGCACCTGTGCATACACACACAAACACACATGCACAAATACATACATACATACATACATACATACATACATACAAAAAGAAGTAGTTGCACAGAAACCTCAAGGCCCTCCTGGCTTGTGGGGCTCACCCTGTTCTCTCTCACCACATTGTCTTGTCTTCCAGGGCCTTTCTCCCATTGCCATGGGGTGGTGTCCCCACAGGCCAGCTTCTCCAGTTGTGTGTATAGCCAGTGCGGGACCAAAGGAGATGTTGTGGCCCTGTGCCATTCCCTGCATGCCTACGCATCCCTGTGTGCCCAAGCTGGCCAGGTGACTACCTGGCGCAACAGGACTTTCTGCCGTGAGTGACCCCACCTCCAGCTCCTGTAGCCCTGGGGGAGCCCAGAGAACTCCCATCCTCACTCCAGAAAACTGCTCCTCTGCCTGCCCTCCACCCACAGGGAGGTGCCTTCTCTTTCCCACTTTGTCTGTTCCAGCCCAGCTCCGTTCTCTGCTTGTCTTCCTGTGCCTAGAACTGATGCTGCCTCCCTCTCCCCTTTTTCTGTTTTTTTTTGGGGGGGTCAGGGTCTCATGGAACTCAGGCTGACCTCAAACTCTCTATGGGCCTAAGAATGAGTCCTGGGACAACTGATTCTCTGTACTGCCACACCTGATTCTCTGTACCCCACACCTGATTCTCTGTACTGCCACACCTGATTCTCTGTACCCCACATCTGATTCTCTGTACCCCACATCTGATTCTCTGAACCCCACACCTGATTCTCTGTACTGACACACCTGATTCTCTGTATCCCACACCTGATTCTCTGTACTGACACACCTGATTCTCTGTCTGATTTTTATCTCATCAAAAGTTCTGCCTTATGCCTAGTTATTTCCCCTTCTGTTTTCCCCTTGGCCACTTCTCTTGACAGAAACTTTAAGAAATTTTGTCTCTTTGTTTAGAGTCAGGGTTTCCTTGTAGCTCCAGCTGGCCTGCTTCCTATGTAGACTAGGCTGGCCTCGATCTTACAGAGATCTACCTGCATCTGCCTCCCAAGTGCTGGGATTAAAGGTGTGCACCACCATACCTTGCCTAAATCCTTATTTTTTAATTAATTAATTAAAATTTTTTAACTTTAAAAAATTATTTATTATTTTTATTTTATGTGTATGTATGTATTGCCTGCATGTGGGTAAGTGCACCCGTGTCATGCAATGGCCCATGGAGGTCAGAAGAGGCTGTTGGATCCTCTGGGACTGGAGTTACGGACAGTTGTTAGCTGTCATGTGGGTGCTGGGATTCGAACCCGGGTCTTCTGCAAGAACAACCAGTGTTCTTAACTTCTGAGCCATCTCTCCAGCCCCTACTTAATTAACTTTTAAAGCAGGGTCTCACCATGTAGCCCTGGCTGGCCTGGAACTGGTATGTAGATGAGGCTGGTTGTTAGCTACCATGTGGGTGCTGGGAACTGAACATGGGTTCTTTGCAAGAACAGCCAGTGCTCTTAACCACTGAGCAATCCCTCCAGCCCCCAGAAATATTTTTTAAAATTTTAAAAACTTATTGTCTTTTCCGTTTGGTTGCGTGTATGTGTATGTGTATGTTGTGTGCGTAGATATGCATTTTCTTTCTTTTCTCTCTTCCTTTTTTCTTCCAGTGTATGTACATGTGTGTGTGTATGTCCCATACACAAGTGGAGGTCAGAGGACAACTTATAACAGTTGGTTCACTTATTATACCATGTAGGTCCTAGGGCTCAAACTCAGATCATCAAGCTTGGCACAAGTGCCTTTACCCTCTGAGTCATCTCGCTGGCCCGTCTATTTTTTCTCTTGTGTGAAAATGTGCATATGTATATGTGTTGTGTGCATATACATGTGCATGTGTGTGTATGTGTGTGCGTGTGTGTGTGTGTGTGTGTGTGTGTGTGTGTGTGTGTGTGTGTAGGCCAGAGGTTGACCTCAGGTGTCTTCCTTGGTTTCTCTCCACTTTATTCACTAAAGCAGGGTCTCTCACTAACTTGAAGCTTGCCAATTGTCTAGTCTAGATAGCCAGCTTGCCCTAGGGATCCCCACTCTCTGCCTTCTGAGTTCTGGGATTACAGGTAGACCACCATGCCTGCCTGGCCTTTATGTGGGTGCTGTGGATCCGAACTCCCATTCTTACATTTGCATGGAAAGCACTTTACCTGCTAGCCATCTCCCCCGCCCCCTATTTGTTTCTCAAGACAAGATCTTGTTATGTAGCTCAGGTTGGCCTTGAACTCTCTGTGTAGTCTGGGCTGGTCTTGGACTTACAATCCTCCTGCTTCAGCCCCCTGACTGATTCCAATTTCTAAAAGGAGTCAAAGTAACCATCTAACTCCAAGTCCATTCCATTATGTACATAGAAAAATGCTAACATATCCACACAAAAACTTGTGCAGAAATCTTTACAAAAATATCAATTACTATAAAAAGTAGAAGCAAGTCTAGTATGGAGGTATGTACCTATAATCCCCACGCTTGGGAGGCAGAGGCAAGAGGATGAGGAGTTGGTCATGACTATGCAGCATGACCTTATCAATAATTTTTAAAAAGAGTAGAAACAATTCAAATATCTTATCAATTGTGGAGTGCATAAATAAAATGTGATATATCCATACACTGGAATAGTATGCAGTTATACAAGGATTGAAATACCAGTTCATGCCATAATGTGGATGAATATTGAAAAGTTTGCTAATTTGAGAAACCAGTCAAAACTTCATAGGTGACACCATTTGTACAAAATACCCCAAACCATTTTTAAGTGTACAATTTGTTAGTAAGGACAGTCACATTATTCTACCACCACCAAAACCACAACCACCATCCACCACCTGAAATTTTTCTTCTCCAATTGAAACTCTGACCCTTTAAACAATACTCCATCCCATGTTCCCCTTACCTCTCCGTCTCCACAAAGTTAACTTCTATAAGAGCTTCACGTAAGACTTAGCATGGGGCTGGAGAGATGGCTCCATGTTAAGAGCACTGGCTGCTCCTGCAGAGGACCCAGATTCAGTTCCCAGTACCCACATGGCAGCTAACAACAATCTGTAACTCCAGTTCCAGGGGATCTGATGCTCTCTTCTGGCCTCTACAGGCATTTACATGCAGGTGAAATTCTCATACACATAAAAATTAATAAGTTTAAAAAGAGAATTGGCATGGCGGAGCATGCCTATAATTCTAGCACTTGGGAGATAGAGGCAAGAGGATCAGGAGTTTAAGAACAGCCTTGGCTATATAATGATTTTGAGGCTAACCTGGCCTATAACAGACTGTGTCTCAACCAAACCAAACAAACAAAGTGATACAGGGAACTGGGGAGATAGCTTAGTTGCTAAAGTGCTTGCTTTACAAAAATGAAGACCTGAGTTCAATTTCTAGAACCTTCGTTTAAAAAAAAAAAAAAGTCAGATGTGGCCGGGCATAGTGGCACACACCTTTAATCCCAGCACTCAGGAGGCAGAGGCAGGTGGATCTCTGTGAGTTCAAGGCCAACCTGGTCTACATAGCAAGTTCCAGGCCAGCTGGGGCTACAGGGAGACCTTGTCTCAAAAAGAAAAAGAAGTCAAGTTATAGTGTTGTCATTGTAATCCCAGCACTTAGAAAGAGACTGGGGCTCACTGGCCTGCCTGGCCAGCCTGCCTAGCATACTTGGTAAGCTCCAGGCCAGTGAGAGACCCTGTCTCAAAAAACAAGGTCGACTGAGGATGATGGCACATATCTTTAACCCCAATACTCAGAATGCAGTGGCAGGAGGAGTTCCAGGCCAATTACATAGTGAGTCTAGACCAGCCAGGCCTACATAGTGAGATCTTGTCTCAAACAAACAAACAATGAAACCAAAACAAGCCCAAGGTAGACAAGCACCTGAGAAATAATACCTGAGGTTGACCTTTAGCCTTCACTTTCACACTCATGTGCACATATGCACCCCCATGCATGCAAACATGCACGCATGCTAAGAATCACATGGCTTCTTTTAAACATGATTTCCTTAGGTTTATTTTATAGCATGAGTCAGGACATCATTCATTTTGTGGGGAGGGGGAGGGGATTTAAGGTCTAATATAACCCAGGCGGGTCTTGAACTCATGGAAATCTTCCTGCATTAGCCTCTTGAATACTGGGATTACAGATACATACCACCATGCCAGGTCATCCTTCCTCTGGAAGACTAAATAATAGTCCATTGTAGAGCCAGGTACAGTGGTTTATGCTTGTAATCCTAGTACTCAGGAGGCTAAGGCAGGAGGATTGTGAGTTCAAGGCCAGCCTGGGTGACATAGCAAAATGTATCAATCAGTCAATCAATCAATCAATCAATCAATCAGTCAGTCAATCAATCAATCAATCAATCAATAAGTCAGTCACTAAAGTAGGGCATGGTGTCACATGCCTGTGATTTCAGAACTAGGGAGGTGGAGACAGGAGGATCAAGAGTTCAAGGTCAGCCTTGACTACATAGCAAGTTCAAGGACAGCCTGGGTTACATGAGACCCTGCCACAAAAGTTTGTTTTTTGTTTTATGTGTATGAGCGTATTGCCTGCATGTGTATAAGTGCACTCCTGTTGTGCAATGCCCTCAGAAGAGGGCACTGGAACTGGAGTTACAGATGGTCGTTAGCCACCATGTGGGTGTTGGGAATTAAAACTAGGGTCTCTGTAAGGGCAACCAGTGCTCTTAACCGCTGAGCCATTTCTCCAGCCCCAAGTTGTTCTTATTTTTTTCAAGCCTATCATATACATATAGATAGACCAGCAATTCCTCACCCAGCAGTGACCCTTCTCAAGAGTCTCACCCCAAGTTCAGGAGCTGGGAGTGCCTTTCTACCCTTCCTAACATTTGTGTCCTTCTTAGCCCTGAGGTGCCCACCCAGGAGCATCTACAAACCATGTACCAGCCCCTGCCCAGCCACCTGCCTCACCCTCAGCACCTCAAGGGACTGTCCCACTGCTCTGCCCTGTATTGAAGGCTGTGAATGCCAGGAAGGCCACATCCTGAGTGGAACCACCTGTGTGCCCCTCAGCGAGTGTGGCTGCAGTGACCAGGGAGGCTCCTATCACCTGGTGAGAGGCCTGATGGCAGGGGTGTTCTCCCTTTCCAGCTCCATGGGTGTAGGGAGGCAGGAAAGAAAGACCAGGCAGCTGGAGGGCTCAGAGCCCAAGAAGGGGTAGGGCAGGACAGAGCTAGGGGTGAGGACAAAGGCTGGATGCTGAGAGGCTGAGAAAAATTAGAGGTAAAGACCCAAGTATGGTGGCACACACCTGTGATCTGGGTACTTGGGAGGCTGAGGCAGGAGGATCATGATTTCGAGGATAGCTTGGGCTATACGGTAAGACCCTGTCTCAAAAACAAAAGATGGATGGGTGGACAGATGGCAGAAAAAGAAAAGAGGATAGAAGGAAGAAGGAAAGGAGGGAGGGAAGGAAGGGAGAGAGAAAGAAGAGGAAGGAGGGAGAGAGGGAAGGGAGAAGGAAAGGAGAAGGGAAAGAGGGAGGAAAGGAGAGAGTGTAGAAGGGAGGAGGAAGGGAAGGGATGAGACCAAATGCAGTTACCCTTCTGGGTTCTGGGGAGGGCTCCACTCATCTCCAGTTTCCAAGTTTCCTATTGGCTGTGCTGATGATGGCCATCCCCCACAGTTGGGGGAGAGCTGGTATTCTGAGAAGACCTGCACCACCTTCTGCACCTGCTCCAACCGCAACAACATCACCTGCAGCCAAACCCACTGCGAGGCCAACCAAGTTTGCTCAGCCCACGATGGGCTGCTCCGTTGTGCTGCAGGTAGGACCACCATGCTGGAAGGACTCACAGCCACCATGGGCAGGTTTCCAGGGTCCTCCACGCACTCTCCTTCCATCCTGTTGCATTGGAGTTCTGATCATAACCTGGCTGTACTTTAAGGCAGGAGAAATGGTCTCACTCCATGGTCTCACTCCACCAGGAAGGATTACTTGGGGTTCATCTTATTTGTTTTACTTTTTTGGTTTTCTGCAGCAGAACCTCATATAGCCCAGGCTATCTGACTTCAAATTTGCTGTGTTGCCGAGGCTGGTCTTTGTATGCATATGTGTGTGTATGCATTCGTGTGCATGAATGCCAGTGTGTCTCTCAAATATGTGCATGTAGAAGTCCAAGGACAACCTCAAGTATCTGTCCTCACCTTTCACTTTGAGACCAGGCTGTTTGCTGATTTTCTACTGCAGATGCCAGGCTGGCTGGCTTGAGAGTTTCCTCCTATCTCCATCTCCCCTTTCCCTGTAGGAACTCTGGGGTTGCAGATGCTCACACTGTGGGTTACATAGGTTCCAGGAAGTTGAACTCAGTTCCTCATACTTGCATAGTAAACCCTTTACCCACTGAACCAGTGGCCCCCACACAAGGCTGATCCTGAATTCCTGATCCTCCTGTATCCACCTCTCAAGTGCTGGGATTACAAGCCTTGCACATGCTCTAAAGAAAGAGCGAGACTGGCTCTTTCTTTAAAATTGTTTTATTAACATATTTTTGGTCTTTTTGAGACAGGGTCTCCCTATAGCCCCAGCTGTCCTGGAACTCACTTTGTAGACCAGGGTGGCCTTGAACTCACAGAGATCCACCTGCCTCTGCCTCCCGAGGGACTACAGGCGTGCACCACCATGCCCGGCTTTAATTACATTTATTTTAAAATGACACTATTTTGTGGGTGGCAGGGGTCAGGGGCCCACATGTGCCACAGTAAGCATGTGGAGGTCAGAGTGCAACTTGTGGGAGTCAGTTTTCTCCTCCTACCGTGTGTGTCCTAGGAATAAACTCAGGTTGTCAAGCTTGGCAGCAAAGCACCCTTACTTGCTTAGCCATCTTACCAGCCTCATGCCTGACTCTTCTGTGACATATTATAAGTCCCTCACTGTGTGACTCACATCCCAACTGTCCTCAAGTCTTATGCCAGTAGACCCTTGCATTTTGATTCTTAAACATGGTCTTCCTTCTCTCTTGGGTCTCTCTGGCTTTTACCAGGCAGAGAGAAGGAGGGATTGTTTCCTTAGGGACCCTGGAATGATCCCTCAGCCACCTCTCTCTCTCCACAGAGACAGGAGTATGCCGCATCTCAGAGGAGTCCCAGGTCATGAGCTTTGATGGCCATGGCCATCCTTTCCATGACACATGCACTCATGTCCTGGTCAAAGTGTGCCATCCCAACATGGACTTGCCTTTCTTCACCATCAGTGCCAAGACTGAAGAGAAGCCCCAAAGTAAAACTGGGACCTTCCATGTCCACCAACTCCACATTGATATCTTCTCTTTCCATGTCACCCTACAAAACAACCATAGAGTCCTGGTGAGCTGGGCATAGGGAGGCAGGGAGGGCCTAGCAGAGCCTGTAAGAGGAGGCCTCTGGTCTCTATCTGTTCATTCTGTGCTTCCTCTTCAGATCAATGACATGCTGGTCACCCTTCCTGCCACGACCCAGATCCCAGGGCTCAGCATTGTGGCCAAAGATGTCTACACAATTGTCACAATTAAGGATGAACTTCAAGTCAAATTTGAGAGCAATAATTTCTTAAATATTCAAATCCCTACATCCTGCCATGGAAAGGCAAGATGGAAAACACCTGGCTCTGTTGGTGGGGAGGTGGCTTCTGGGAGATAGGAGAGCACCCCCATTCTGGCATAACAAAGAGGTCACTCCCCAGCATGGAGGAGGGAGGCTGATTATGCATTTCTATTGTAGGCTAGGCAAGTGTGCACCAATGAAATATGCCCTTAGAGTCTGGCATGGTGGCATACATCTGTAATCCCAGCACTTGAGAGGCTGAGGCAGGAGAGTAACAAGTTCCAGCTATCTATGGAGACCTTGTATCAAAAGAAAATAAAGGGATAGGGCTTTCAGTTGGTAGAACCACCTGCCTAACCAATGCATGAAGCCCTGGGTTCCATCCCCAGCACGACATAGAATGTGTGTGGTGATGCATGTCTATAATCTTTGCACTTAGAAAGGAGGTAGAAGCAAGAGGATCAGTATTTCAAGGTCATTCTTTGCTACACATCAAGCTTCAGGCCAGCCTTGGCTACATGAAACCCCATCTCAAAAGAATAAAAATTTAAAATAAGCCAGGCATGGTGGCACACACCCTAATGCCAGCACTTGGGAGGCATAAGCAGGCAGATATCTATGAGATCAAGGCCAGCCTGATCTACATAGAGAGTTCCAGACTAACTGGGGCTTCAGGAAAAAAAGACCAAAACAATTTCTTTAAATAAATACAAAGAAGGGGCTGAGGGTTGTAGCTAAGTAATAGATCATTACCTGCCTAAAGTCTTGGGTTTCATCCCTAGTGCCAAAATAAGAAAAAAAAAATCCCTTAGACCTCCCTACCTCTGTAGCACTGAACCCTGCCCCCACCCTCCCAGGTCTGCGGTGTATGTGGGAACTTCAATGGTGAGGAAGAGGATGAACTAATGATGCCCAATGAAGAACTAGCCCAAGATGAGCAGGAGTTCATGAACAGTTGGAAAGATAAGAACATAGACCCAAAGTAATGAATGACCCCTCCTTCCTCCCTCCCTCCCTTCTTCCCTTCCTCTCTTCTTCCCTCCCTCCCTCTCTCCCTCCCTTTTTCCTTCCCTCCCTCTGTCTCTCCCTTCCATTTTTCTCTCCTTCCCTCTCTCCCTTCCCTTTCAAGACGGGGTCTCACTATGTAACCTTGGCTGGGCTGGAACTTACTAGGTTGACCAGATTAAACTTAAGCTCACTATGATCCTCTTGCCTCTGGTTCCTGAATGCTGGGATTACAACTATGCATCATCACACTTGGGTTCTTTCTTTAAGTTTTTTATTTTTTCATATATTTTTATTGTTTTATTTTATGTGTATGAGTGTATTATTGCCTGCATGTGTGTAAGTGCACCTGTGTCATGCAAAGTCTTTAGAAGAGGGTTTTGGATCCCTTGGGACTGGAGTTATGGATGGTTGTTAGGTGCCATGTGGGTGCTGAGAATTGAACCTGGGTCCTCTGCAACAGTAGTTAGTGCTCTTAACAGCTGAGCCATCTCCCTAGCCCCTCTTTAAGTTTCTTAATTAAATTTTTAAAAATGTATTTTTTGTATGAGTTTTTTGCCTGCACGTATGTAAGTGTATGCATTTCTGCAATACTTGTGGAGGCCAGAAGAGGGGGTCAGAGCCCCTGGAACTGGCAGTTACAGTTGTTAGCTGCCCTGTGGGTGCTGGGAACTGAACCTGGGTCCTCTGTAAGAGAAGCCATCTTAACCACTGAGCCATCTCTAAAGCCCCTTCTTAAAGATTTTTGCAGTACTGGGGACCTCAAACACATTAGGTAATATTCTACCCTGCACTATATCCCCAGCCCCCATTTTATTTTATTTTATTTATTATTTGTGTGTGTGTGTGTGTGTGTGTGTGCTATGCATGTGGGAGTGTGGCATGCATGTGGCATGGTGCACATGTGGAGTGTTGTGCTAGCAGTCACTTTCACCTGCTGAGCCATCTCACTAGCCCCCTTCGTGTTTTTTAAAACAGTGTCTCATGTAGTACAAGTCTGCCTCAAACTCAGTATGTAGCCAGTGATGACCTTGAATAGCTTTTAGAAATTTATTTAGCTTGGCTTGGTGGTACATACCTTTATCTGTGAGATTGAGGCCAGCCTGGTCTACATAGCAAGCTCTAGGCTATCCAGGGCTACATAGTGAGACCCTGTCTCAAATAAACCACCCCCCAAAATTATTTTTTAGTGTGTGTGAGTACACATCTGTGTCATGGTACATGTGTGGAGGTCAGAGGACAACTTGCATCAGTCAGTCCTCTCTTTCCATTCTGTGGATTCTGGGGATCAAACTCAGATTCTCAGGCTTGGTGGCAAGTGTCCTTATTCACTGAACCATCTGGACAACCCCAATCTTGAACTTCAGACCCTCCTTCCCATCCCCCAAATGCTGGGATTGCAGGCATGTGTTACCATGCACAGTTCTGAGCTCTTTCTTTTTCCATCCCAGTTGCCAGAAGGTTAAAGAAGAAGAGATCATCCAAGTGGAACCACAGGAGATCATGAATGGCAAATGCAGGCCCACTGACTTCCAGAGGGCCCAGGCAAATTGTCAAACCACCCTGCAGGCCCCATCCTGGGCCCAGTGTACCTCTCGGGTGACCCTCAAGCCCTTCTTGCTGGGCTGTATTAACAACTTCTGTGAGTTTAGAGAACTCTTTCGTGCTCTCTGTGAGGCTCTGCAGGCCTTCGCAGCTGCCTGCCAGAACCAGGGACTCCAGCCACCTATCTGGAGGAATAGCAGCTTCTGCCGTGAGTTTCCCTACAGGCCTCCCCCACCCCCGTACCAGCCACTCCCAAATCCCATTTCTTCCCTTGTATCTCTATGTAGCCCAAATTAGCCTCAAATTGAGATCATCTGCCTCTGTCTCCTGAGTACTGAGATGATAGGTATATGCCACCATACCCTATTACAATTGTGTGTGTGTGTGTGTGTGTGTGTGTGTGTGTGTGTGTGTGTGTGTTCCTAAGTGGATGTATGTACCTGCATGTGAATAGAGACCAAAGGCCAACTTCAGGTGTTGGTCACAATGTAGCCACCTACCTTTTTTGGTTTGTGCGCGTACACCTTCAGAAGCAGGCCAGAATTCAGTGCCTTTCTCAGTAGTTGTGTGCCTCATTTTTATAAAGTATTTTATTTGTTTTTATTTTATGTGTATGAGTGTGTCACCTGCATGTATGTAAGTGCACCCATGTCGTGCAATACCCATGGAGGTCAGAAGAGGCATTGGATCCCCTGGAATTGGAGTTATAGACAGTTGTTAGCTGTGTGGGTGCTGGGAAACGAACCCAGGTCCTCTGCAAGAGTTGCCAGTGTTCTCAACCACTGAGCCATCTCTCCTACCCTGTGTCTCATTTTTTTTAATTATTTTTATTTTATGTGCATGAGTGTTATGCCTGCATGTGTGTAAGTGCACCCATGTTGTGCAGTGCCCTTGGAGGACAGAAGAGGGTGTTGGATCCCCTGGGATTAGAGTTACAGGTGGTTGTTAACCGCCAGGTAGGTGCTGGGAATTGAACTGGGATCTGCAAGAACAGCCAGTTCTTAACCTGAGCCATCTCAAAATATTTTTATTTTTATTTATGTGAATGTGTGTGTATTTATGTGTGCATGCATGTAGGTTCCTGTTGATGCCAGAAGAAGGCATCAGATCCCCTGCACTGGAGGTGCAGGTAGTGATGAGCCTCCTGACAGGAGACTGGGAACTGAGATCCCGTCCTCTGGAAGTGTGGCAAGTGCTGTTATAACTGCTGAGCCATTTCTCTAGCCCCTGCCGTTATTTTTTTAAATTTTATTTATTTACTTTCTTTGTTTTATGTGTGTTTTGCTTGCATGTATGTAAGTACATCCATGTCATACAATGCCTGGGAATGGCAGAAAATGGCACTGGATTCCCTGAAACTGGAGTTAGAGACAGTTGTTAGCCACCATACAGGTGCCAGGAAATGAACCTGGGTCTTCTGCAAGAGGAGCTGGTGCTATTGACTGTTGAGCCATCTCTCTAGCCCCTTGCCCTAGTTTTTGAGACAAGGCCTCTCACTGAACCTGGACCTCATTGATTGACTAGACTGGCTGAAGAGCAAACCTCAGGGATCTACCTGTCCCTTCCTTCCAGCACTGAATTACAGGTACATGCCACCAGCCTGGCTTTCCACATAGGTGCTAGAGGAGAAAATCAGGTCCTTCTGCTTGCAAGGCCAGAGCTTTTCCAACTGTGCTATCTCCCTAACCCTACCCTGTTTTCTGAGCCATGGTCTCTCAGTAGGAATTCAGGCTTACCAATTAGACTAGGCTGGCTGGCCAGTGAGCCCCAGGAATCCTCCTGTCTCTGCCTCCCCAGCACTGGGATTATAAGCACCATCCATCATGCCTGGCTTTTTACATGGGCTTTAGAGATTGAATTTGTGTCCTCATGCTTATGTGAGAAACTTTCTGAACTGAGTAATCTCATCCCTAGCCTGACTAACTAAAATTCTTTTTTCTTTTTTTGAGACAGGGTCTCCCTGTAGCTCCAGCTGGCCTGGAACTGGATATGTAGACCAGGCGGTCTCCATCTCACAGAGATCTGCCTGTTTCTCTTAAGTGCTGGGATTAAAGGCTGTGTCACCATACATGGCTAAAATCGTTTTTTAAATTAAATTGTAGTTTTGGATATGAAACCTAGGACTTTTCTCATGATAGACAAGCACTCTACCACTGAGCTACATCCCCAGCCCCTACATCCCCAGCCCCTCTCTGGTTTCCATTTCTTTTGCCAGTGCTCTTCTTCCTAAAAGAATGTGATTACCATTCTGCCTGGCTGCTACTCTACTACAAGGTTAAGTCTGTACTTTATACTATGATGAGTGAGACCCTGCAAGCTGTCCTAGTTCCATCAGCCCAGCCTCTGTCTTTTCTTTCTTTGCCCCTCCAGGCAGATGACTGGGTGGGTACCTTTTTATATTATTATTATTATTATTATTATTATTATTATGATTATTAGTAGTAGTAGTAGTAGTAGTAGTAGTAGTAATAGTAGTAGTAGTGTCTGATGTAGCCCAGTCTGGCCTTGAACATGCTATGTAGCCATGGATGACCTTGAACTCCTGGTAGTCCTGCCTCTACTTCAGGAATTACAGAAATGCAATACCATGCCTGATTTTGTGTGGTGCTGGTTATGGAACTCAGGCTTCATCCCCAGCTTGCTGGACACCTTCTGTTGTTCTTTACCATTTTCCTTCTTTTCAGACATGTGCTCATATAACCCAGACTGGCCTCAAACTCCCTAGGTAGCTAAATGGTACCTTGAACTCCTGATCTTCCTGTTTCTCCCTCCCAAGAACTAGCATTATAGGTATACACCACCATGCCTGACTCAGTTCTTTCATTTAAAAAAAAATTAGGCAGGGCTGGAGAGATGGCTCAGCAGTTATAGGAGCACTTGCTGTTCTTCTAGAGGATGGGACTTCAGTTCCCAGCCTCATTCAGGACAGGCTGCTCTTACAGAGGACCCCATGGCAACAAACAACTGTTGGTAACTCCAGTTCCAGGGGAATTTGACACCTCTTCTGACCTCTGCAGGTATTGCATGATACAGGTGCACTTAAATACATGCAGGCAATATACTCATACACATAAAATAAAAAATAATATTTTTTTAAAAAGTGGCTGGAGAGGATGACTCAGAGGTTAAGAGCACTGACTGATCTTGCAAAGAACCTGGGTTTGATTCCCAGCACCCACATAGTGGCTAACAACTGTCCATAACTCCAGTTCTAGAGGAATCCAACATCTTCTGACTTCTTCTGACCTCCATGGGCATTGCATAACACAGGTGCACTAACATATATGTAGGCGATACACTCATACACATAAAATAAACATAATAAAATATTTTTAAAAAATTAGGCCAGGGCTGGGCGTGGTGGTGCATGCCTTTAATCCCAGTACTCGGGAGGCAGAGGCAGGCAGATCTCTGTGAGTTCAAGGCCGGCCTGGTCTACATAGTTCCAGGACAGCTGGGGCTTCAGGGAGACCCTGTCTCAAAAAAAGACGAAAAAAAAAATTGGGCCAGAGAGAAGACTCATTAGATAAGGGCCCTTACCATTAAACCTGAAAACCCGAGTTCAATTCCCAGAATCCACATAGTAGGAAGTATTTACTCGGTTGTCCTCTGACCTCCATCCATGCACCGTGACATATATGCATATACTCTCTCTCTCAAACACACACAATAATAAATAAATAAATACATACATACGTAAAATTTTTAATATAAAATTTTAGCCCTATTTAGTGGCACATACCTATATTGCGAGGGCTGGGGAGGCCAAGGCAGGAGGATCATGAGTTCCAGGACAACCCTGCTACATAGCAAACCAAATACTTTTTTGGAAAAAAAGAAAAAACAATATTTTGGAGGGGAGAGGATGTTTTTGAGACAGGGTATCCCGTAGCCCTGGCTGGTCCAGTCATTATATAGACTAGGCTGGCCTCAGTCTCCTCTACTTCCCAAGTGCTGGGATTAAAGATGTGCACCACCAAGCCCAGCTCAGAAAAAGCAATATTTAAAAAAACTTTATTTTATGTGTACGAGTATATTACCTGCATGTGTATAAGTACACCCATGTCATGCAGTGCCCATGGAAGACAGAAGAGGGTGTCAGATCCCCTGGAACTGGAGTTACACATGGTTGTTAGCTGCCATGTGGGCGCTGGGATTCGAACCTGGTTCTTCTGCAAAAACCACCAGTGCTCTTAACCACTGAGGCCATCTCTCCAGCCTCAGAAAAAGCTTTTTTTACCTGAGATTATTCATAGCACAGTATTCTCCCTGTAGAAATGGGTTTTAGAAGCCTGGAGGTATAGCTTAGTGGAAAATGTTCCTTGAATTACACGGGCAAGGTCCTGGATTGCATGTCCTGCATTACAGTGAAATAATCACAAAAACCAGTTGGTAGGTGTGGTATTGCACACCTATAATCCTAGGGAGGCAGAGGAAGGAGGATCAGGAGCTCAAGCCTTGCATCAGGAGCTGAAGATGTAGCTCACTTGTTAGAGTGCTGGCCTAGCATGCATGAAGCCCTGGGTTCCATCCCCAGCACCACATAAAACCTGGCATGGTAGTGCACACCTGGAATCCCAGCAACTCTGGAGGCAGAGGCAGGAGGATTACCGCAAATTTGAGACCGTCCTGGTCTATACTGAGTTCCATGTCTCAAGCCCACCACTGCAGGCAGATTTAGTGTCTTCACAGTTGTAGACCCTTCACCATAAATCCAGAATCTAGTGAAATTTAAAACATGGGGCTGGAAAGATGGTTCACTGATTAAGAGCATGTACTGTCCTTGCAGAGGACCCCAGTTTGGTTCTCAGCACCCGCATCAGGTAGCTCAGAACTGCTTGTGACTCCAGCCGCAGGGAATCTAACACCCTCTTCTGGCCCCTACAGACACCCCACACACAAATTAAAATTTAAAAATAGTAAACTTTAAGACAGGAAGTTATTAAAATATTTGTGCTTTTTATAGTTGTCCCTTTATATCAATGGGGGTCTGAGTGGGTTCAGAAACCCCAAGGGTAGCAGCAACTGAGGACGTTGATAATCTTTTCATAAAAATGACATGGAGTCTGCACAGAGCCTATGTAAACCTTACCATAGACTGTCAACCATCTCAGGATGTCGTAAGATCGCTGATATGATATACATGCTATGTCAGCCAGCCCTGAGAGACTAGTTCAACTATAGAATAACTGCCCAGAATCCCCAGGTGATGAACTAGGGAAAGAGCAAGTTAATGAGCTGAGGGGTATCTGACATGAGCAGTATGATTCTCACTCCCTATCCATAAACATGGTTTGCTCTGCCATTTATTCTCTCTCCTCTCTGTGATTGATTGATTTTGTGTGTTTGTGCACATGTGCTACAACATGCATGTGGAGGTCAAAGGACAACTTTCAGAAGTCATTTCTATCCTTCTACCATGTGGAGCCTGGGAATCAAACCCAGGTCTTCAGGTTTGACAGCAAGCACCTTCACCTGTGAGCTGTCTCTTGGGCCTTCTCTCTATGTCTTTTGGGACAGGGTTTCATGTTGTTTAGGATAGCATCAAACTCACTTACGTAGCCAATGGTAGCCTTGACTCTGGATCCTTCTACCTCATTCTCTACCCACCCCCAGGGCTGGCATTACAACACCACACATAGCACTTTCTCTTAAAGACCATGTTAAACTCCCTTGGGGTTAAATTAACCCTCCTTGCCCTGTGGCCCCATTCCGGTACTCAGCTGTATGTCCCATACTTACTGACTGAGGACATGAAGGTCACTTTGCTACTGCTGGCTGACCTGGGTAAGTTTCCCATACTAACTTGATTTGGTGGGGGGAAGGTGGGATTGGGCTTTTTGAGACAGGGTCTCCCTGTAGCCCCAGCTGGCCTGGATCTCTCTATGTAGATCAGGTTGACCTTGATCTCACAGAGACCCACCTGCCTCTGTCTGCTGGGTGCTGGGATTAAAGGTGGGTGCCACCATGCCTGGCTTCCCACATTAACTTGAAAGTACCATTTTTCCTTTCCTCAGAGCTTGGCACACAACCCATGCTCATAAATATTTGCTGACTAAATCATAAATAGGAGGGGTGCGGGTAGAAGCCCAAAGTTTTCTTGGGCATTTAACCCACCCTGGTTTCTGCAGCATCTGCTTCTTTGCACCCCGTCTGGCCCACTTCACTAACACCATTCTCCTTCTACAGCCCTGGAATGCCCAGCCCACAGTTACTATTCCAACTGCCTTCCCTCCTGTCCACCTTCCTGCTTGGACCCAGACAGCCTATGCGAGGATACCAGCCACAGAGTCCCCTCCACCTGCAAGGAGGGCTGCCTCTGTCAACCTGGCTACGTGCTGAATAATAACAAGTGTGTGCTCAGAATGCAGTGTGGTTGCAAAGACGCCCAGGGTAGCTTCATCCCGGTGAGTGGGTGTGGAAAGTGGGATTGGGACCTACTTTCTCTTTCTGTCTGCTTCTCTCAGTCTGGGATGAACCTGTCTGTATGACTGGCCCTGGAGTGGGAAAGTTGGTCAGGGCCTGGTCCAGGCTAAGTGAGTACTCCACCTCTGAGCCATGCTCCTAGCCACTCACTTGGGGTCTGTACCTAGGCACTCTTCACTGAGATATACCTCCAGCCACAGATGCAATTTTTCCCCAAATATTATCCAACTGTGGTTTATTGGCTCAACAGATGTGAAACCTACAGACATCAAATTTAAGTCCCTCAGACAGGAAGTAAGGCTGATTCCCTAGACCCAGATCCTTCGCCCTCACTTTCTCCTCCTGTGACTTCTGCAGGAAGGCAAGACCTGGATCTCCAGAGGCTGTGCCGAGAGCTGTACTTGCACGGGAGGGGTCATCCAGTGCTGGAATTTCCAGTGTCCCTCAGGGACTCAGTGCCAGGACAGTGAAGATGGCAGCACCAACTGCACCAAAATCAGTAAGGGAGCCATGGGGGTGGAGAGGGTGCTCATGGCTAGAGGTCAGAGGCAGGGTGTATTAGTCAGGGTTCTCCAAAGAAACAGAACCAGTAGAATGAATATGTATAGAGATTTATCAGCTTAGCTCACAGGAGAGAGTCCGAGTAGTCCAACAATGGCTGCATCACACTGGAGAGGCTGAGAATCTGTAGTCGCTCAGTCCACAGAACTCACCAGCGAGAGAGAAGGCAAGCCGCAAAAAGCCCCGTGTTCTCCTCTGCCTTGGTCTTTTATACCGGCTGCCATCAGAAGGTAACACCCACATTTAGGGTGTGTCTTCCGGCTTTAGATGATCCAATCAAGAAGATCTCTTTCATTTCAGTTAATCTCAGATCAAATCAAGTTGACACCCAGGATTAGCCATCACACAGGGCAAGAAGGAGCTTAGTCCTCTGGGCCTTAGAAGTCAAATATAGGTGGTACTATGGTGGGGAGGGATTCTAGAAACCTACCACTTGGGTGATTCCCTTCTCTCTCAGTGGTTAGTCTCCCACATTGACAGGAGATCCGTCTTCTTACTTTTAATTTTTTTGGATTTATTTTTATTTTGCATGTATGAATGTTTGCCTGCATGTATATAAGTGCACCACATGCATACAATACCAATGAAGGCCAGAAGAGAGTGTCAGATCCCCTGAAGCAGGACCATTGTTAGCCACCATGTGGTCCTCTGCAAGAGCAGCCAGTGCTCTTAACTGCTGAGCATCTCTCCAGCCCTATTGTCTTTCTTCTCTCAGGCCATGCCCAAAAAATGTTTGGTGACAACAACAACAAAAGCCAGGCATAGTGGTTCACACCTTTAAAAAAATTATTTATTTAATAACCACATGACTAGAAGAAGCATTTCATTACAGCTTTAACATATCCGATAACAATTTCCAGAGCAAAGATGCATCCCTCTCAAAAGTGGCTGTAAATTTTTAGGTTCGTAGTTACATTAATACAGTTATACAATACAATTGAATTCTGAATAAATCCTATAAGACATAAAATTGAATGAGGTTTTTAACCTTTAAAAAAGATCTCCATTTCATTTTAAAATATACTATTTCCTATAGAAAAACTCATTTTTAATGCAACTAACACTTAGATGTTTGCACATGCATCTCTAACCTCTATGTATCTGATTATTACTAGTCACAGTCAGTTACACTCAGCTCCTTGGCATCTTGAGTATGGACATAAAGTCATCAGGTAGATTTCAATGGTAATGTGTATCACCTCTACTAATTAACATGAAGCAAATTTTTATGCTTCTCCCTTAAATATAACTCATTTTAAAAAATTTGTTGATTTTTTTTGTGTGTATATCATACAGACCATCCCAAACAATCTTATTAATTTATATACCCACTTCCCAAATGGCACCCTCCGATAGTTTCCCCCCTCCCACACATTGGAACCCATATACTCTGTCATCCCTGTTACTGTCCACTGTGTTGTCCGTTCCCCAGTGCTTATCCATCCGCTGAATCTAGCCAGCTTATCTGGAGTTTCTTGTTTTAAGAAAATCAGCTCTTCCTCATCTAGAGCAATCAGTTGTCAATATTCCTTTAGATAAGATTGGGGTCTGCTGTTCATTTTCCCAGTTCTATGCTGGGTTACTGTTTGGGAGTCTCTTGGGCCACCCTGGTCAACAACTTAAAGGAAGGTATCTCCTGTCTGGCATTATTCTTGTTATATAGCCTTTAGCTATACACATGGACTCTTAAAAAATTATATTGACCCCTTTAATTTTTGGTTATACTTTCCTTTTGGGTGTTTAAGACCATACAGTTGGCCAGATAAACCAATTTATTTTTATTCTTAAGGCTGTTTGAGGATCTGTTCCTCAGAGGTAACATGGGCTTGGTCCTGCTCGACCATGGTTGGCTTCACTTGGAAGCATGGAGGAAATGTTTCCTCTGTGTTGACCCTCCTCTTTGTAGACTGGGCACTGGTTCAAATACATTTAATGGGGTCTCCATGGCCTCTTTGATCAAGAGGACAAGTGACTCACCACAGTTACAGGACATTTTGAGAGATGCTCATAGTCCCCTGGAACTTAGTCAACCTAGGAGGGCAAGGAGCAGAAAATGTCCTTTATGCCCCTCTGACCAAATTAGTATAGGCCTCAAAGTATGGCTGTTAAACATCCAAGAGGGGTTAGTTCTACCTGTCTGGTACTTTTAATTACCATATGCCATGTAGATAAAGCTTGGCCAAAGACCAAATGTTCTCAGATAAACCTTGCCTAGATATATATTCCTTGAGCTAGTTGTATGTATAATTTGTCAGTAGGTTGTTCGATTAATATGGTTCCCTCTGATTTTTTTAAAACTATCTAGGCTTTTTTTTTAATCTCTCATATTGTCTAACCCTTCCACCATAGTTTCCCCATTTAAAGTACCCCATTTTCCCCATTTGTCCCTTAATAACATGCTTTAATCCCAGAACTCAGGAAGCAGAGGCAGGTGGATCTCTATGAGGCCAGCCTGGTCTACATAGTGAGTTCCAGGCCATCTGGCACTATAGGGAGACCCTGGCTCAAAAAGATGAGAGAGAGAGAGAGAGAGAGAGAGAGAGAGAGAGAGAGAGAGAGAGAGAACAAACAAAAGAAAAAGTCCATGCTCTGCTGATCATTCTGCACAGAGCCTGGTTTCTGTATAATGGGCTCCCTCTGGTTCCTTCCACTAACCCAACTCTCTCTCCACCCCATAGCTCTACACTGCCCAGCTCACAGCCATTATGTTAACTGCCTGCCTTCCTGTCTACCTTCCTGTTCGGACCCGGATGGCCAATGTGAGGGTAACAGAACTAAAGTCCCCTCCACCTGCAAGGAGGGCTGCCTCTGTCGACCTGGCTATGTGCTGAATAATAACAAGTGTGTGCTCAGAATTCATTGTGGCTGCCAAGACACTCAGGGTGTCTTCATTCCAGTGAGTGGACATAGCAAGTGGGATTGGTGGGAACTGGGGAGATGGCTCAGTGAGTACTTGCTGCAAGTACAAAGACCTGGGTTCAAATTCCTCAAACCTACATAAACTGGGCAGCATAGCTCATGTCTTTAATCCTAGTAATCCTACTGGTAGAAAAGGAGTAGAGACAGGGCAAACTCCAGAAACTTGGGAGCTAGACAAGATTGTCTTTTGTTTGTGGTGTTGAAAAACAAAAGCAAAAGGGAAGAGAGAGACAAGAGAGAGACTGTCTCAATGCATAGTGAAAAGCAAAAATGAACACTAGAGATTATCCTCTGGCCTCTCTGGGTAAGTGCTCTCTCAGTCACCCTCACACAGGAATACACACACAAATATACACGAACACACAAAAATGTCTTTTAAAATAGTGTTGGTAGAGGGCTGGAGAGATGACTCAGCAGTTAAAAGCACTGTCTGGTTTCCCAGAAGATCCAGGTTCAATTCCCAGCACCCACATGGTGGCTAACAATTGTCCCTAACTCCAGTTCCAGGGGAATCTGATGCCCTTTTCTGACCTCTTTGGGTATTGCACAGCATGGGTGCAATACATACAGTCAAAACTCTCATATATATAAAATAAAAATAATAAAATATAAAATATTAGTGGTCATTTCTTGTTTCCTCTCCATGTGGGATGCTTTTGCCTTAAGATTGGCTCTGTTGCATATCAGGACCTGGAATAGGCTTAGGCAAACTGTCTACCATTGAGCTAGGCCCCTAGATCCTCACTGGGGCATTCTAGGCAAATGCTCTACTATTGAGCAACACCCTAAGCCTCTCATTAGGGGATTCTAGGCAAGTATTCTATCTCTAGAATATGCCCCTGCCCCCTTACACCCTTGCCCATCAAAAGTTCTACTCAAGTGCTCTGTGAATGAGCTATATTCCAGGCCCCCGTTGGAATATTCTAGGCCCCATCTCTAACATCATACTACTTCCTAGACCCTCAGTGGCGATTATAAGCACTTGTTCTAACAATAAGCTATGCCTCTAGCCCCTCACAGGAGAATTCTAAGCAGACACTGTGCCCCTAAACTGTACCTCCAGCTCTAGATGCAGTATTTTTTTTCCAAATATTTTCCTGCAGATAGGGAAGGCAAACCTAAGTCCTTCAGACAGCAAGTTTGTCTTCCTCTAACCAGCCTCTCTTTCTGTGACTCCTGCAGGAAGGCAAGACCTGGACCTCCAGAGGCTGTACGCAGAGCTGTGCCTGCATAGGAGGGGCCATCCTATGCCGGAATTTCCAGTGTCCCTCAGGGACCTCCTGCAAGGAGAGTGATGACGGCAGCAGTAACTGTGACAAAATCAGTAAGGGAGCCACAGGGAAGGAGGAGAGGGTGCACATGGTTGAAGGACCAGAGTCAGGGTAAAAAGGAGCTTAGTCCCCTGGGCCTTTGAGATTAGAATAGAGGTACCATAGTGAAGAGGAATTCTGGGGACCAACAGTTGGGCTGGGTCCCTTATTAGTGCTGGTCTTTCAAGGTTTAGTCTCCCACATTGACTTAGGAGATCCATCCTTACTTTCTTCTCTTTGAGCTTGGCACATAGCCCATACTCTCTAAATGCTTGGTGATTGAATAATAAAAGGTAGGGGGAATCCCCAAGGTCTGTTGGTCATTCTGCCCAGCCTGCTTTCTATAACCTCTGTTTCTTTGAACCCCCTCAGGTTCTCTCCACTAACCCCACTGTTCTTCAACCCCATAGCTCTACAGTGTCCTGCCCTCAGCCACTACACCAACTGCCTTCCTTCCTGTCTACCTTCCTGCTCGGACCCAGATGGCCTCTGCGAGGGCACCAGATTCAAAGTCCCCTCCACCTGTAAGGAGGGCTGTGTCTGTAATGCTGGCTATGTGCTAAATAATGACAAGTGTATGCTCAGAATTCACTGTGGCTGCAAAGACACCCAGGGTGCTCTCATCCCGGTGAGTGGAGGTTGAAAGTGGGATCAGTGAGGGCTGGGGAGAGGACACACTGTGTTGTTTAAGAAAAGTGTTTATGGCCAGGCGTGGTGGTGCACGCCTTTAATCCCAGCACTCAGGAGCTAGAGGCACCATATGCATACAGTGGTTGCAGAAGCCAGAAGAGGGTGTCGAATCCCCTGGAACTGCAGTTAGGGTTGATTGTTAGCTGCCATGTGGGTGCTGGGAACCAAACTCAGGTCCTCTGCCAGAGCAGCTGGGCTGCTCCAGTGTTTTTAACCACTGAACCATTTCTGTAGCACACAAGTTTTGTTTTTTAAGTGGAATTGGGAGCCACTTTCTCCTTCCTTCTGCTTCTCTCCACCTGGGATGCTCCTGGTCCTATGGTTGGCCCTGTACTGTAAAGGCAGGTAAAGCCCTAGAATGTGCTAGGCAAGTGCTCTACTGCTGAGATATCCCCAACCCCTCTTGGAAGATTCTAGTCAAGTGCTCTACAACTGAGCCATACTCCGAACCTCTCCCTAAAAATTAGGCAACTGCTCTGCCACTCTGCTATGTCTAGACGCTCTTGGAGAACTCTAGGCAACTAACTGTTCTACCTCTAAGCCACCACCTGCCCCCAACCCCTGCCACTTGCCATTGAGGATTCTGTGCAGAGGTTCTACATTTGAGCTGTGCTTCTGAACCCCAATGGTGGATTCTATACCTGAGCTCTACCTCTGATCCATATCCTCAGACCCTCATTGGAGGATTCTAGGTTACATACTATACCTCTGATTTATACCCACAGTCCCGGGTGCATTTCCCCCCCAAATCTTTTCCATCTGTTTGGTTTACCCAGTAGATGTGGAATCTGCTGATAGGGAGGACAGAAGAAACCCCTCCAGACAGGAGTTGATGTTGTTTCCTTAGAACCAGCTCCTCTATCCTGACTTCCTTTCTCTTCCCTTGGCTTGTGCAGGCAGATGAGACCTGGATCAACAGAGGCTGTACCCAGAACTGTACCTGCACGGGAGGGGTCATCCAGTGCCAGAATTTCCAGTGTCCCCCAGGGACTTACTGCAAGGACAGTGATGATGGCAACAGTAACTGCGCCAAAATCAGTAAGGGAGCCACGAGGGAAGGAGGAGTGGGTGTGCTGATGGCTGGAGGGTCAGAGGCAGGGTGAGAGGAGCTTAGTATTTGAGGCCACAGAGGTCAGGGAAAGGAGGTACCATAAAGAGGAAGGGTTCTAGGAACATATGGCTGGACTAGGACCTTTTCTCAGTGTTAGTCTTTCAATAGTCTCCATTCAATAATTAGTCTCCACATTAATTTGAAAGATCCATTCTTTTAAAAATTTTGTTTTTAAATATGTGTATAGCGGTATAACTATAAGGGTATGTGCACCAGAGTTCAGTGCAGGAGGAGGCCAGAAGAGGACATCTGTTACCCTGGAGCAGGAGTTGCATGATATTATGAGTCACTCAGTATGGATACTAAAACCTAACTTGGGTCTACTGCAAAAGCAGGAAGCAATCTCACCTGCTGACCCATCTTTCCAGACTCTTGGTTGCCCCCCTCTTGTATGAGAACACACACACAAATGTGGTTTTTTTGAGACAGGGTCTCCCTGTAGACTCAGCTGCCCTGGAACTTGCTATGTAGACCAGGCTGGCCTTGAACTCACAGAGATCCACCTGCCTCTGCCTCCTGAGTGCTGGCATTAAAGGCGTGCATCACCACACCCAGCACAAGTTTTTTTTTTTAATATTTATTTTTTTTTTTGTGTATGAGTGTATTTACCTGCATGTAAGTGCGCTCATGTCACGCAATGTCCATCTCTCCAGCCCCATTAATTTCTTTATCAGACTTTGGCACAAAGTGCATGCTCAGTAAATGTTTGCCAAATGAATAACAAAGAGGAAAAACTTAAGTCTCAAGCTTTGTTGATCATTCTACCCCACCTGGTTTCTGTAGTCTCTGCTTCCTTGGACCCCTCAGGTTCTCTCTCCACTAACCTCACTGTTCATCAACCTCATAGCTCTGCAGTGTCCTGCCCACAGCCTTTATACCAACTGCCTTCCCCCCTGTCTACCTTCCTGCTCAAACCTGGATGGCCTCTGTGGGGATACCAGCTCCAAAGCCCCCCGCCCCTGCAAGGAGGGCTGTGTCTGTGGATCTGGCTATGTGCTGAATAATGACAAGTGTGTGTTCAGAAGTCATTGTGGCTGCAAAGATGCCCAGGGTGCTTTCATCCTGGTGAGTGGGCATCCCAAGTGGGACTGGTGGGGACTGGGGAGGTGGTTCTGGGTGAAATGATTGCCCTCCTCTTGTATGAGTACACACTTACAAAGTTTTTAAAAAATATTTTATTGCTGGGCGTGGTGGTGCATGCCCATTTAATCCAAGCACTTGGGAGGCAGAGGCAGGCGGGTCTCACTGAGTTCAGGCCAGCCTGGTCTACATAGTGAGTTCCAGGCCAGCTGGGGCTACTGGGAGACGCTGTCTCAAAAAAGACCAAAAATTTTTTTTTATTATTTTTATTTTGTGTGTATGAGTGTATTGCCTGCATATGTTTAAGTGCACCCCTGTTGTACAGTGTCCATGGAGGTCAGAAGAGGGTATCGGATCCCCTGGAATTGGAGTTACAGACTGTTGTTAGCTGCCCAATGGGTGCTAGGGATTGAACCCAGATCCTCCGCAAGAGCAGCCAGTGCTGTTAACTACTGAGCCATCTCTCCAGCCCCACACAAAGCTTTTTGGTTTTTGGTCTTTTTGAGACAGGGTCTCCCTGTTAGTGGGGCTGGCCTGGAACTCACTATGTAGATCAGGCTGGCCTTGAACTCAGAGATCTGCCTGCCTCTTCCTTCCTCCCAAGTGCTGGGACTAAAGGTGTGCATCACTATGTTCGGCCATACAAAGTTTGTTTTTTTCTTAAAGTAGGATTTGTTGCTTTCCTCTTCTATTTTTCTCCATCTGGGATTTCCTGTTTATATGGCTGACTCTGTAGTATGAAGGTTTATAAGGTCCTGGGCCATGCTGTCTAGTACTCTATTGCTTAGCCCTGCCCCCAGGCCCTCCCCCGGGGGATTCTAGATAGAGGCTTTTGACAGTGAACTATATTCCTTGGCTCCAACTGAGGGCTCTAGGCCTGAGTTCTCCTACTGAGCTGTCCTCCCATCCTCACACTCTGGAGTCTTAGCAGGCGCTCCACCAATGAGCCTGACCCCTAGCCTCTAACCAGAGAATTGTAAGACATTGCTGAGCCAGGCCCCAGGTCCTCTTGAAGGATCCTAGTCAGGCTCTCTACATATGATCCATAGTCTCAGCCTCTTACTGATGGATGCTAGGCAGTTTTCTACCACTGAGCCATGCCCCTGGACCCTCTTACAGGGTTCTAGGCATATAATCTGCCTCTAAGCCACAGCCTCCCTACTCCTTCCACTGCCAGGCATCACTGAGGATTCCAGGAAGAGTTTCTACATCTGAGTTATGGTAAAAAGCCCCCAGGGAAGATTCTAGACCAGAATTCAACCACTTAGACACGCTCCCCAACCCCTCACTGGGGATTCTAGGCATTCACTCTACCACTGAGTTATGCCTGCAGCTTCAGATGCATTTTTTCTCCTAAATTTTTTTCATCTGTGTTTGGGTACTCAACAATGTGAAACCTACTGACTGGGGAGACAAAAGTAAGCCCTTTAGACAGGAGTTGAGGCTTCTCCTTAGAACCAGTCCCTCAGTCCTCATTTCCCTTCTCTTCTGTCACTTCTGCAGGCAGATAAGACCTGGATCAACAGAGATTGTACACAGAGCTGTAACTGCACTGGTGGGGCCATCCAGTGCCAGAAATTCCAGTGCCCCTCAGGGACTTACTGCAAGAAAAACAATGATGGCAACAGTAACTGCACGAAAATCAGTAAGGGAGCCATGGGAGAAGGCGAGGGTGTGTGCATGGCTAGAGGGTCGGAGGCAGGGCAAGAAGAAACTTAGTCCCCTGGGCTTTAGAGGTTAGAGAGAGGAGGTACCATGGTAGGGAGGAATTCTGGAGACCTGTGGCTCAGCTGGATCCCTTCTCAATGCTGATGTCTCAGTGGTTAGTCTCCTACACTGACTTGGGAGATCCATTCTTCTTTATTTTTTAAAGTTATTTTTTATTTTATGTGTATGAGTGTTTTGCCTGCATATATGTAAGTGTGCCCATTTTGGTGCGGTGCCCATGAAGGCCAGAAGAGGGCATCACATTCCCAGGAATTGGAGTTTTAGATGGTTGTTAGCCACCATGTGGGTTCTAGGAACTGAACTCAGGTCCTCTGGAAGAATAACCAGTGTTCTGAACCATTGAGCCATCTCTCCAGCCCCCTCTTTCTTATTTTTTAAAGGTATTTTTAAGTTGAATTTTTGTGAATTTCATACAATGTATTTTGATCAATTTAGATCTGCTCCCCAACCTGCACCCCTGCTACTATGCCCTACTGCCCAATTTCATGTAATCTATTTTACATATGCATACATATTTTTGTACACACACACACACACACACACACACACACACACACAAAGGCCTATAGTCAAACTTGTGTTTCCAAATGCTCTTCTATGTGGGTCCATCCACTGGAGCTTGGTCAGCCTACCAAGAATCTCACCTTAAACGAGACCGACTCTCCCTCTCCCAACAGCTATCCACTGCCAATTGTTCCTCAGGTAGGGTTGGGTTTTCTTACCTGCCTCCCCAAGTCTGTACTGAGATTTTGTCTGGCTTGAACTTATGTGCAACTTGTAGATACTGTCACCATTGCTACGAGGTATGAGTAACTGCCCAGTGGTCTGGAAAACTCTGTTTCCCTGTGGTCATCCATTTCCTCTGGCTCTTACAATCTTTCTGCTGCCTCTTCCACAATGATCCTTGAGCCTTGGGGAGCAGAAGTTTGACATAGGTGTCCTATTTAGGGATAAACAGTCTGCAGTCTCTTATTCTCTGCATGTTGACCAATCTCTGTGTTAATCACTATCTGCTGCATAAGGAAGCTCCTCTGGTGACAGCTGAGCAATGCATTAATTACTACAGGTCTGAGAGAGCTGGCAGGTCTGGAAACACTCAAGGGTCCCAATGACCTGAACAGCTTTTAAGGATTTTATTTTTAATTATGTATATAAGTATGTGGCTACATGTGGTATGTGCATGTGATTGCAGTATACTCGGAGGCCAGAAGAAAGCGTCAGATTCTTCTGGAGTAGTAGTTACAGTAGGCTGTGAGTCACCTGAAATAGGTGCTGGGAACCAAACTTGGAGACTCTGGAAGAGCAGCAAGCACTCTTCACTGCTGAACCACCTCTCTAACCCCAAGAGATCCATTCTTCTTACATTCTTTCCTTAGGGCTTGGCACAAAATCAGTTTGCTGAGTGAATAACAAAAGGAAAAAGCTTCAAACTGTCTTGTATATTCTGCCCCTTCTAGTTTCTGGATCCTTTGCTTCCTTGGCCCTCTTTGATCCTCTCTACTAACCCTATTCTCCCTCCATTTCGTAGCTCTGCAATGTCCTGACCACAGCAATTTCACCAACTGTCTCCCTTCCTGTCTACCTTCCTGTTCCAACCTGGATGGCTGGTGCAAGGGCACCAACCTTACAATCCCCTCTATCTGCAAGGAGGGCTGTGTCTGTCAACTTGGCTATGTGCTGAATAATGACAAATGTGTACTCGGAAATCAGTGTGGCTGCAAAGATGCACAAGGTGCTCTCATACCGGTAAGTAGGTGGCTAAAGTGGGATTGGTGGGGATTGGGGAGATGGCCCAGTGGATAAAATGTTTGTTTCCTGGCAAGAGGACCTGAGTTTGAATCCATACAACCAACATAAGACATGGTAGCCTGTGTCTGTAATCCAAGGGCTCCTACTGGGAGATGGGAGGAGGAGGAAACAGGAGAATCCATAGAAACTTTCAGGCTAGCTAATCTTGTATTTTTGGAGGGAGGGAGGGAGGGAGGGAGAGAGAGAGAGAATGAAACAAAGACACAGAGAGACAGAGAACTTGTCGGAATACAAGGTAGAATGAGAGGACCAACACTGAAGATTATCCTCTGACCTCTACATGTATGTGTGCCCTCACTTACACTCCTGCAAACTAACACACAGACACAAAGATTTTTTAAAAGTGGCATTCCTTCCTTTGCCTCTCATCATCTGGGATGCTACTTTCTGTATGGCTAGCCCTGTAGTGTAGTTGATCAGGGCCTGGAATATACTAGGTTCTACTGCTGAGCTATACCCCCTAGCCAATCTTTGGGGATTCTGTCAGGTGCTCTGAGATTGAGTTTCTTTCCCAAACCCCACTGGAGGATTCTAGGTCTGAGCTCCACCACTGAGTCAGCCCCTGAAGCCTTCAGTGGGATTTGTTTTCTGCTTTATTTTGGTTTTTCCTTTTTAAAAATATTTATTTTTTTATTTTATGTGTATGAGTGTATTGCCAGCATGTACATAAATGCATTTGAGGCATGAAGAGCGTGTTGGATCCCCTGGAACTGGAGCTGTAGACAGTTGTTAGCTGCTATGTGGGTGCTGGGAACCAAACCCCAGTCCTCTAGAAGAGCAGCCAGTGCTCTTAACCGCTGAGCCATCTCTCCAGCGCCCCCCTCCCCTTTTTTTTTCACTTTTTGAGATCAAGTCTCACTGTACAACCACGGCTGGCGTGGAACTATTAGGAGTAAAGTTACAAAGGTGTGCATCACCATGCCCAGCCCTCAGTGGAATTCTAATCAGAAACCCTAGTTATGAGTAAGGCCCTCTGCATCTCAACTGAGGATTCCACACAATTGCCCTAGTGTTGAGGGATGTCAGTCCCTCTTAGAAGATTCTACACAGTTGTTCTACCTGTAAGTATGCCATGCCTCCACTAAAATGCACCCCCAACTCATCAAATGAGAATTTCAGATAAAGGTTCTACACCTGATCTACACTCCCAGTCCCCCACTGGAGGATTCTAATCCCAACTCTACCACTGAGCCATACCGCACCCCCCAAGCCCTTTACTGGAAGATTCTAGGCTGTTACTTTAGTGCTAAACTATGCCTCCAGCCACAGATGCAATTTTAAAATAATTTTCCATCTATGGTTGGTTTACTCAATAGGTATGGAAACTGCTAATGGGAGGGGAGAGGGCATCACAAAGTAAGTCTCTCAGACAAAAGGCTGTCATCCTAGAATGGGCTCTCAGTCCCCACTTCCTTTTTCTTCCTGTGACTTGTGCAGGCAGACAAGACCTGGATCAACAGAGGCTGTACCCAGAACTGTACCTGTATTGGAGGGGCCATCCAGTGCCAGAACTTTCAGTGTCCCTCAGGGACTTACTGCAAGAACAGCAATGACGGCAGCGATCACTGCACCAAAATCAGTAAGGGAGCCATGGAGGAAGGTTGGGAGGGGTATGCTCATAGCTGGAGAGTTAGAGGCAGAGCAAGAAGGAGCTTAGTCATCTGGGCCTTGGAGGTCAGGATAGGAAGTACCACAGAGAGGAAGGATTCTGGGGACCCAGGGCTGGACTGGACTCAGTTGTTCTCTCAGTGGTTCGTCTCCCACATTGACTTGGGAGATCCATCTTCTTACTTTTTACTCTAACACACTTCACTCTTTTGACACACAGGTCAATAAATATTTGCTGAATGAATAACAAAATGGGGGAAATATCCCTGAGGTCTGTTGGTCATACTGCCCAGCCTTGTTTCTGCACCTCTGCTTCCTTGGGTTCTCTCAGGTCCTCTCTAACCCCACTCTCTCCCTACCTCATAGCTTTGCAATGTCCAACCTACAGCCACCACACCGACTGCCTTCCCTCCTGCCTACCTTCCTGCTCAGACCCTCAAGGCCTCTGTGAGGGCACCAGCTCCAAAGTTCCCTCCACTTGCAAGGAGGGCTGTGTCTGTCAACCTGGCTATATATTGAATAATGGCAAGTGTGTGCTCAGAAGTCATTGTGGTTGCAAAGATACACAGGGTGGCCTCATTCCGGTGAGTGGGCATAGAAAATGGGATTGGTGGGGGCTGGGGAGATGGCTCAGTGGATAAAATATTTGTGCCATAAATGAGGGCATCTGAATTTGAGTCCTCACAACCCGTATAAGTAGCCCGTGTCTGTAATCCCAGGGGTTCTACTGGCAGATAGGAGAGGACAGAAGAAGCCCCAGAAATATGTAGGATCGTTAGTCTTTTGTGCTCAGCAGTGAATAACAGCTGAGGAACAACAGAGGAAAGAGAAACAGAGACAGAGACACAGACAGAGACGAAGACAGAGAGACAGAGACAGACTGTGTCAATACATATGTAAAAGTAGGACCAACAGTGGAGATCCACACCTCTAAGTGTGCCCAAATTCCTCACATACTCAGGAATACACACACACACACACACACACACACACACACACACACACACACACACCTATAATAAATAAATAAATAAATAAATAAATAAATAAATAAATAAATAATGCAATAAAAGCTTTTTTGCCAGGCATAGTGGCACATGCCTTTAATCCTAGTATTTGGGAGGCAGAGGCAGGTAGATCTCAGAGTTCAAGGCCAGCCTGGTCTACATGGTGAGTTCCAAGCCAGCCAGGGTACACAGGGAGACTGTTTCTCAAAAAAAGAAAAGGAATAAAAAATTTAAGTGGGATGGTGGCCGTTTTCTCCTCTCTGCTTCTCTACACCTGGGATACTCCTTTCTGTATGGCTGATTCTGGAGTGTGAAGGTGGGTCAGGGTCTGGCAAATGTTACTACTTAGCCACACCCCCTTAACTGTCTATCAGTGGGAAGTAGGCAGGCTCAGTCTGCAACTTCTTCCTTTCTTTCTCTTCTGCGAGCCTGGGTTGCACATGCTGGCCTTGGAGTGTGAAGGTTGACCAGGTCCTGGCACAGGCTAGGCAAGTGCTTTATGCTGAGCTATGCCCCCAAGCCCCTCACTATGGGATTCCAGCCAGGCACTCTAAGGCAGACCCCTGCCTCCACCTCCTTCCTGGTGGATTCCATATAGGCCCTCTATTTTTCTACCACACCCACAGCTCCTGATGCAATTTTCCCCCATGTTTCCCACCTGTAATTGTTAAACTCAGTAGATGTGGAACCTGCAGGTGAGGGCAGATGTAAGTAAGCCCTTTAGACAAGAGACTAAGCCTGTCTCCTAATAACGGCCTTTTTGTCCTCATTTCCTTTCTCATTCTGTGCCTTCTACAGGCAGGCAAGACCTGGATCTCCACAGGCTGTACCCAGAACTGTACCTGCATGGGCGGGGTTGTTCAGTGCTGGAAATTCAACTGCCCCTCAGGGACTCAGTGCCAGGACATTGAGGATGGCAGCAGTAGCTGTGGTGAAATCAGTAAGAGAGCCATGGGAGAATATGGAGAGGGTGCTCATGGTCAGAGGCAGGACAAGAAGTAGCTTAGTCAGCCAGGCATGGTGGTGCATGCCTTTAATCCCAGTACTTGGGAGGCAGAGGCAGGTGGATCTCTGTGAGTTCAAGGCCAGCCTGGTCTACATAGTGAGTTCCAGGACAGCTGGGGCTACAGAGAAACCCTGTCTCAAAAAGACAAAAAAAAAAGAAGTAGCTTAGTCCCCTAAAAGGTCAGGGGTAGACAGTAGCAAAGAGGGAGGGAGGGATTCTGGAGACTCAAGCCTGGGCTGTCCCTTCTCAAGGTCGGTCTCTCATTGGTTTGTATCTTAATTTAATTTCTGTTGCTGTGATAAACACCCTGACAAAAAGAAACTTTGGAACAAAGTTTATTTTGGGCTCACAGTTCTAGGTTACAGTCCATCATTGTGAGGAAGTCCAAGCAGCAGGAACTCAGGGCAGCTAGTCACATGACATCCAGTCAAGAGCTGAGAGAAGCAAGCTTCCTTACTAGTACTCTGCTAGCTTTCTCCATTCTTACGGAGTACAGGACCCAAATCCAGGGAGTGGTGCCCCCATTGTGGGCTGGGACCTCCCATATCAATTAATGTAATCAAGATAATCCCCCACAGGCATTGCCACAGGCCAACCTGATCTCAACACTCACTCTTCCCAGGTGACTCTACATTGTGTCAAGTTAACCGAACTAACCGTCAGTGTTAGTGCCCCACATTACCTTGGGAGATGCATTTTTCTTACTTCCTTCTCTTGGGGATTTGCACACAGACCGTGGTCAGTAAATGATTGCTGAATGGAATAGTCCCTTTGATGAATGGAATTATCCCTTCTATGTGTTAGGCTCCCAATAGTTAAGTCTCCCACATTGAATCAGGAAAAAATCATCCTTACATTCTGTCCTCAGGTGGCAAATAGGCATACTCAGTAAATGTTTACTGCATGAATAATGAAAGAAAAATAAAGCCCTGACTTCTCTTGGTCATTCTGCCAGCCTGCTTTCTGTAGCCTCTGCTTCCTTGGGTGTTAGGTTCTCTTCGCTAACTCCATTCTCCCTGTACCCCATAGCTCTACAGTGCCCTGGCCACAGCAGCTATACCAACTGCCTTCCAGCCTGTCCACCTTCCTGCTCGGACCCAGATGGCCTGTGCAAGAGCACTAGTACCAAAATCCCCTTTACCTGCAAGGAGGGCTGCCTCTGTCAATCTGGCTATGTGCTGAATAACAACATGTGTGTGCTCAGAAATCAGTGTGGCTGCAAAGATGCTCAGGGTGCCCTCATCCTAGTGAGTGGGCTCAGACAGTGCGATTGGTGAGGGAGTGGGGAAATAGCTCAGTGAATAAAATGTTTGCTCTGCAAGTGTGAGGACCTGTATTCTAATTCCTACTAACCTTGGAAGGTAGATGGGTAGCCTGTGACTACAATCCCAAGGCTGCTATTGGGGTATGAGAGGGGAAAAAACAACAGACTCTCTTGAAACCTGTGGGTTAGCTAGTCCTGTGTGCCCAGAGGTGCTGAGAGAGAGAGAGAGAGAGAGAGAGAGAGAGAGAGAGAGAGAAGAGAATGGAGGGAAGGAGAGAAAGAAAAAGAGAGTGACGGTCGTAATACAATGAGGAAGGTGAGAATGTCCTCTGAGATCGTCCTCTGATCTCCACATGCTCCATGTGTACATACATCCACAAACATAAACATGAACACACACATACACACACACACACACACACACACACACTCACACACACTAAAAGAGCCAAAAACAGGGGGCTCAGCTGTTGAGATCACTGGCTGCTCTTGCATAGGACCCAGGTTCAGTTCCCAGCACCCACATAGCAGCTAACAACCATCCATAACTCCAGTTCCAGGGGATCCCACACCCTCTTATGGTCTCCAGGGGCACTGCACATGTGATTTACTTATATACTTGCACACAAAACACACATATAAAATAAAAATAAAAAAGATTACCAAAAACAAAAACCCAGATGGGATGGGGGCTGCCTTCTCCTTTCTTCTGGTTCTCTCCACTGACTTGCTCCTGTCTTTATGACTGGCTCTGGTTTGTGAAAACTGGCTAGGGCCTGGAACATTCTAGACAAGTACTCGACCTCAGCCTCTTGACCAGTCCCTTACTGAGGGATACTAGGCAAGTTCTATATCACTGAGTTACACCTCTCAGCCCCTCACTGGGGGATTCTAGGCAAGTGTTTTATCTCTGAGCCACACCTCAGCCCCTAACTGAAGGTATTTAGGCAAAAGTTCTAACACTGAGCCACAGCACCAGAGCCTCACTGGGGTGTGCTAAGCAAGTGCTCTCTCTATCTCTAATCCAGGCCCTCTCCCCCATCACTGAGGATTATAGACAGGCTCTCTATGTAGAATCATACCGGAAGCTCCTCACTGGAGATTCTTGCCAAACACTCTAAGGCAGAATCTTGTCTTAGTCTTCCTTTTGGATTCTACACAGGCCCTCTAGAAATGAACTATACCCCCAGGTCCAGATACAATTTTTTTCCAGTTCTCCTAACTTTGGTTGGTTGACTGAATAGATATGAAACCCACAGATAGAGAAGGCGTGTGTAAGCCCTTCAGATAAGAGGTTGAGCTCATCTCTTTAGAGCTTCCTACTCTGTCTTAACTTCCTTTTTCTTCCACTGACTTCTGCAGGCAGGCAAGACTTGGATCTCCCGTGGCTGTACCCAGAGCTGTACCTGCACCGGAGGGACTATTCAGTGCTGGGACTTCAAATGTCCGTCAGGGTCTCACTGCCAGCACAGTGATGAAGGCAATAGTAACTGTGCTGTCAACAGTAAGGGAGCCCTGGGGGAAGGGGAGGGTGTGCTCATGGCTGGGGAATCAGAGACAGGGCAAGAAGGACATTAGTCCTCTGGGCCTACAAGATCTAAGATAGGAGGTACCATAGTCAGTAGGGTTTCTGAGGGCCCATGACTGTGCTGGACCCCTCTCAGTGCTGATCTCTTATTGTGTAGTGTCCCACTTTGACTGAGGGGATCTATCTTCTTACCTTCTTTTCTCACAGCTTGGCACACAGTAATGGTCAGTAAATGTTTTCTGAATGACTAACAAAAGAAAAAATGCCCGAAGCTTTCTTAGTCATTCTGCCCACCCTGGTTTCTGTATCCTCTGCTTCCTTCTTCCTCTCCCCTGAGGTCCTTTCCACTAACCTCACTCTCCCTCCATCACAGATCCTCAATGCCCAGAACACAGCTACTTCACCAATTGCCTTCCCTCCTGTCTCCCTTCTTGTGTGGACCCAGAGGGCCTCTGCAAGGGCACCAGCACCAAAGTCCCCACCACCTGCAAAGCGGGTTGTCTCTGTTTACCTGGCTATGTGCTATATAATGGCTTATGTATACTCCCAAATTACTGTGGCTGCAGAGATGCCCAGGGTGGCCTCATTGTGGTGAGTAGGCATGGAGAGTGGGATTAGTAAGGGCTGAGGAGATGGCTTGGTGGATAAAGCGCTTGCAGGACAAGTGTGAGGAATTCAAATCCTCACAATCCATATACAGTGGTGCAGTAGCCTGTGTTTGTAATCCTACTGTGCTGTGGAAGAAAGAGACAGGAAAATCCCCCCAAACTTGCAGACTAGCTATTTTGTTATACACAGTGTAAACATCAAAAACAGAGAGAGAGAGAGAGAGAGAGAGAGAGAGAGAGAGAGAGACCCTGTGTCAATACAAGGTGGAGTACAAGGACCAACACCTGACATTGTCCTTTGACCTTCAGAAGTACATGTGCCCATACTTGCACACATTTGAACATGGACACAAACATACAAACATATATATAAACAGAAGTTGGTTTTTTTTTTTTGGTATTTTTGAGACAGGGTCTCCCTGTAGCCCCAGCTGTCCTGGAACTCACTATGTAGACCAGGCTGGCCTTGAACTCTCAGAGATCCGCCTGCCTCTGCCTCCCAAGTGCTGGGATTAAAGGTGTGTGCCACCATGCCCGGCAAACAGAAGTTTTTTTTTTTTGAGACAAGGCTTCACAATGTGTCCTAGGCTGTCCTCAAACTCACGGAGATCCACCTGCCGTTGCCTTCTGAGTCCTAGAATTAAAGGCAAGTGCTACCACTCCCAGCAACAAAGATTTTTTTTTAAAGATCTACATATTGTAAGGCGTAGTAACACATGCTTTTAATGCCAGAATTTGGGAGACAGATGCAGGTGGATCTCTGTGAGGTGGAGGCCAGTTTGGTCTGCATAGTGAGTGCTAAGCCAACTTGGACTACAGGGAGACCCAGTCTCAAAACAAAACAACAACAACAAAAAAGCCCAAAGTTTTTATTTATGTGTATTTGTGTTTGCCTGAATTAGTTTATGTAAACCACATGCAGGAAAATGCCTACAGATGACAGAGGGTCTCAGTTCCTCTGGAACTGGAGTTACAGGTGATTGTGAGCTGTCTTATGTGGATGTTAGAAACCATCTCAGGTCCTCTGCAAGAGCAAACTCTGAAGAGTAAACACTCTTCACCTCTGAGCCTTCCCCCAAGCCCCAACAAATATTTTTTAAGGTAGGATTGGGTGCCACTTTGTCCTTTTCTTTCTGTCTCCCCCCTATGATGCTCCTATCTGTATAGCTGGCTCTGGAGTTGAAGGTTGGTCAGGTCCTGACACAGACTGGGCAAGTGCTGTACTGCTGAGCTACACCCTCCGCTGCTTATGGGGATTGCAGTCAGGCTGAACTACACCTACAACCACCCGTGGTTGGTTGATAGAGAACTTGCCAATTGTTATAGCAGATTTAAGTCCCTCAGACAGCAGTCAGGGCTCTCCCTCATTTCCCTTCTCTTTCCATGGCTTCTGCAGGCAGGCAAGACCTGGATCTCCCATGACTGTACCCAGAGCTGTGCCTGCACAGGAGGAACCATTCAGTGCCAGGACTTCAAGTGCCCCATATGGTCATTCTGCCAGCACAACAATGATGGCACCAGTAACTGTACCCCCAACTGTAAGGAGCCATGGGGGAAGGTTTAGAGGGTGTGCTCATGGCTGGAGGATCAGAGCAAGGGCAAGAAAAAACTTAGCTCTCTGCGATTGTTTGCTGAATGAATAACAAAAAGAGGGAAAAAGCCCCAAACTTTCTTGGTCATCTTGGCCTCTGGCTCTCTCCACTAACTCCATTTCCCCTCCATTTCATAGCCCTAAGATGCCCACCTGGCTTCCGCTACACAGACTGCCTTCCCTCCTGCCCACCTTCCTGCTCAGACCCGAATGGCCTCTGTGTGGGCACCACCTCCAAAGTCCCCTCCACCTGCAAGGAGGGCTGCATCTGTCAATCTGGCTATGTGCTGGATAATAACAAGTGTGTGCTCAGAATTAACTGTGGCTGCAAAGATGGGCAGGGTGGCCTCATCCAGGTGAGTGGCTGGGAGAAGTGGGATGCAGGGCTTGGGGAGATGGCTCAGTGGTAAGTAGAGAAAGAGCTTGTTGCATAAATGTGAGGACCTAAGTTTGAATCTCTACAACCCATGTAAGCTGGGTACAGTAGCCTTTAAATCCCAGAACACCTACTGCAATATGAGAGGAAGGGCCAAAAGAATCCCAAGAAACTTAGGTGCTAGCTATTGTGGTGTACCACAATGAATACCACCACCAGAGAGGATAGAAAGAGAAAGGGGGAGAGAGAGAGGAGAGAGAGAGAGAGAGAGAGAGAGAGAGAGAGAGAGAGAGAGGACTGTCCTTGTCTCAATACAAGGTAGAAGGCAAGGACTAATACTTCCAACCTCTATGCATATGTGTGCCCACATTCATAAACACACACACACACACACACACACACACACACCATGAAGAATTTGTTAAAAAGAAGTATTGGAACTGGTGTGATGTTGCATACCTTTATTACCAGCACTGGGCAGGGGAGGCAGGCAGATCTCTGTGAGATGGAGGCCAGCCTGTTCTACATAATGAGTTCCAGGCCAGCTGGGGATACAGGAAGACCCTGTCTCAAAAAACAAACAAACAAGCAAGAAAGTAGTATTGGTGCCCACTTTCTCTTTTTCTGTTTCTCTGGATGCTCCTATCTGTATGGCTGGCCTAAGAGTGTAAAGGCTGGTTAGGTCTTGGCACATACTAGTCAAGTGCTCTACCCCTCAGCCCCTCAGTGGAGGATTCTAGGCAAATGCTCTACTATTGAGTCATGTCCCTAGCCCCTCACTAGGTATTCTAGTCAGACTAAAGTATGCCTACAACCCTGGTGGCAATTTAAAAAAATTTTTATGTGTATGAGTGTTTTGCCTGCATGTATATACGTGCACCACCTGTATCCAATGCCCAAGGAGCCAGAAAAGGGTGTTGGATCCCCTGGACTGGAGTTATTGATGATTATTAGATGCCATGTGGGTGCTGAGAACTGAATCCAGGTCCTCTGCAAGAGTGGCCAGTGCTCTTAACTGCTGAACTATTTCTCCAGCCCCCTGGTGGTAATTTTTCAAAAAAGTATTTTCTACCTGTAGTTGGTTGACTGAAACCTGCAGATAGAGAGGGCAAATGTAAGTTCCTCAGCAGAGGGCTAAGTCTGTCTCCTAGAACCAGCCTCTCTGTCCTCTCTTTTTTCCCTTCTTGTGACTTCTGCAGCCTGGCCAGAAGCGGATCTCAAGTGGCTGTACCCAAATCTGTACATGCAAGGGAGGGGCCCTTCAGTGTCGGAATTTCCAGTGCCCCTCAGGTTCCTACTGCCGACAAAGTAATGATGGCAACAGTAACTGTGCCTTCGTCAGTAAGGGAGGTAACTGTTCCACCAACAGTAAGGGGACCCATGGAAATGGGGGCAGGTGGGGGTGCTAGCTCATGGATGGAGAAATCAGAGTAATGGTACAAAGTAGCTTAGTTCCTGGCTGGTGTGTATGTGTGTGTGTGTGTGTGTGTGTGTGTGTGTGTGTGTGACATGGGGTGACATAGCGCCTAGTCAAAGTATGTGTGTTGTGAGTAAAAAACAAAAAAGTGCTGGGAACCAAACTCAGGTCCTCTACTAGAGCATTACGTGCTCTTAACTGCTGAGCCATCTCGCCAGCCCCCACACATATTTTTAAGACTTTGTGTGTGTGTGTGTGTGTGTGTGTGTGTGTGTGTGTGTGTGTGTGTGTGACATGGATGGACATAGAGCCCATGCTCAGTAAATGTTTGCTGAATGAAAAACAAAAAGAACAACAAGCCTCAAGCTCTGATGAACCTTCAGTCCAGCCTTGTTTCTGTGCCCCTACTTCCTTGAGCCCCCCTCAGATTCTGTCCACTAACCCCGCTCTCCATTTACCCCATAGCTCTAGTTCTGCAGTGTCCAGATAACAGCCACTTCACTGACTGCCTTCCCCCCTGTCCTCCTTCCTGTTCCAACATGGATGGCCGCTGTGAGGGCTCCAGCACCAAAGACCCCTCTTCCTGCAAGGAGGGCTGTGTCTGTCACTCTGGCTTCGTGCTCAATAAGGACAAGTGTGTGCCCAAAAATCAGTGTGACTGCAAAGACCTCAAGGGTGACATCATCCCAGTGAGTGGACGTGGAAAAGGGAATTGTGGGCCACTTTCTCCTTCCCTCTGCCTTTCTCAGCCTGCAATGTTTATATGACTGACCCTGTCACTGGGAAGGCTGGTGGGATATAGACGCCCCCCTTTTTTTTTTTTTTTTTTTTTTTTTTTTGTCTTTTTAAGACAGGGTCTCTTGGTCTCCTGTAACCCCAGTTGGCTTGGAACTCACTTTGTAGACAGATCTGCCTCCCAAGTGCTGGGATTAAAGGTGTGCCACCATGCCCAGCCTAAATTGAGTTCTTTAATTAAAAAAAAATATTTTTTAAGACAAGGTTTCATGTAGCTCAGGCTGGTCTGAAACTTGCTATATAGCTGAGAATGACCTTAAATTCCTGATTCTCCTGCTTCCACATTCCAAGTGCTAGATGACAGATTTCCCCTACCATACCCCCTGGTTTATGTGGTGCTGGGGATGGAACCCAGGGTTTCGTGTATGATAGAGAAGTGCTCTACCAACTGAGCCACATCTCCAGCCCTCCTATATTGGAATTGTGTCAGGGAATACATACAACTAGGACACCAAGATAGAGTACACAGAACAGGGCTTTTGTATAGGAGAACTCTGCTGCCTCCATTTCCTCATCTATAAAGTGGGTCCATTAGCACATTCTGAACAGTATATTAAGACACCAAGAACAAGCCGCTTGTGGTGGTGCACACCTATAAGGTTCAGTACTTGGGTGGTAGAGGCAAGAGGATCAGAAGTCTAAGGCCATTTTAGATACATACTGAATTTGATGCCAGCCTGAACTACATTAGCTCCTGTCTTAAAAAAAAAAAGGTTAAGAACGGGGCTGGAGAGATGGCTCAGTGGTTAAGAACACTGACTGTCCTTGCAGAAGACCCGGGTTCAAATCCTGGCACCCATATGGCAGCTAACAACTGTCTGTAATTCCAGTTCCAGGGGATCCAACAGCCTCTTCTATCCTCCATGGGCATTGCACAATGTGGGTACACTTACCTACATGCATGCATAACACTCATACACATAAAAATAATAAAATATTAAAAATAAAGGTTAAGGACAATGTCTTGAGAAGACAGGATACAAGACATCAAGACTCAAATGACACTATAACTATCCTCTGGAGAGGGCCAGTTGCATTAGTTCTTGGGAACCCATGGGGATGAGTGGTTCCAGGATACCCAAATCCACAGATGCTCAAGATCTTTGTATAAAATGATGTTATAGGCTTGGGGATGCAACTCAGTTAATGGAGTACCTGCGTAGCATTCATAAAGCCCTGGACTCCATCCCCAGCACCACATAAGCCAGGCATAATGGGGCATGTTTATCATTCCAGCACTGGGGAGTAGAAGCAGGAGGGTCAGAAGTACAAGGTCATCTTGGGCTACATAGTAAGTTGGAGGCTAGCCTGGGATTCCCTGCTAGAACCTCCACACAAGCTCTCAAAAAAAATAAGTAGCACTGGAGAGAAGGCTCAGCAGTTAAGAGCACTGGCTGCTCTTGTAGAGGACTTGGGTTCAGTTCCCAGCACCCACATGACAGCTAACAACCGTCCATAACTCTAGGTCTCTAGGGGAATCCAACACCCTCTTCTGGCCTCCATGGGCATTGCATGACACAGGTATACTTCCATACATATAAGCAATATACTCATACATGTAAAATAAAAATAAATAAAATATTTAATAAATAAAGAAATAGGGCTGGGGAGATAGCTCAGTCAGTAATGTGTTTGCCTTGCAAGCATATGGACTTCAGTTTGATCCCAAGAACCCATGTAGAAAAAGCCATGGATGGGCCAGGGGATGGCTTAGCAGGTAAGAGTACCTTTTGCCAAGACTGATGACCTGACCTCATTTTGATTCCTGGAACCCATATGATAGCAGGAGAAAACAGAGTCCCACAAGTTGTCCTCTGACCTCCACATGTGTGCTGTCATACACACACACACACACACACACGTATGTTTGTGCACACACACAATCTTAAAAAAATAAAAAATTGGGGGCTGGAGAGATGACTCAGTGGTTAAGAGCACTGATTGCTCTTGCAGAGGACCCAGGTTCGATTCCTAGCACCCACATCGTGGCTAACAACTGTTTGTAACTCCAGTTCCAGGGGAATTCAGTGACCTCTTCTGACCTCCACGGGCATTGCACAACACAGATGCATGTACGTACTTGAAGAGAACTCACTATGTAGACCAGACTGGCCTTGAACTCACAGAGATCTGCCTGCCTCTGTCTCCCAAGTGCTGGGACTACAGAAAAATAATAAATAAAATATTTTTTTAAATTCTATTATTTTTATTATTTTTATGTGTTTGGGTGAGTTGCCTGTATGTGTGTGAGTGCACCTCTGTTGTGCAATGCCTGCAGAGGTCAGAAGAGGGCATCAAATTCCCTTGGAACTGGAGTTACAGCCGGTTGTTAGCCACCATGTGGGTGCTGGAAATTGAACCCGGTCTTCTGCAAGAGCAGCCAGTGCTTGTAACCTCTGAGCCATCTCTCCAGCCCCTTAA